ATTTTTTACTAGTTATATTTAACTAGTGAAAAATATTTTAGTTAAAATAACTAACTATTTAGCTAATAGTTGGATTGAAAAAAAAGATAAAAAAATAAAAAAAAAGAATCATTAACTATTTTAATTAAAAACGTGAAATAATTAGTATTATTAGAGTTACTCATAACACTTGTAGTGTTTTTAAATATTTTTACTTTAAAAATAGATTTACACGTGAATTTTTGTGACACTAGACATTGTTTATTTATTATGATGTTTTTTTTTTAATTTTATTATTATTATTTATTATTGTTATTATTATTATTATGTTAAAAATGTAGGGCTGGACTAGGTCTACTCAGTCCTCGGGACACGATCAAGACTATGGTAACGTTGACGCTTTCCAAACACCTCATACACACCATACACGTGTTCTAAATACTATTCACAATTTCACACGAAAGGATGCCGTGCTGAGCTTTTCCTCACAAAAAAAAAGTGAAATATTTCTAATATAAGACGTTAGTTCATAAATTAGAATTATGAGATTAGAATTATTTTTAATTTATGTGTATTTTTTATGAGATAAAATATTATAACGAATTATGAACCATGATTCAAATCAGGATATGAATTTCTTTATCAAAGATCACATAAATGTAAACTATCTTTTACCTACTGATAGTTTTCTAATTGTAGTCCTCATAATTTTTTTAGACATTATTTATTTTATATATTTTTTTAATTGATATAATTTTAACATTATTTAACGGTTAAAAACTAACACTACTAATAGTATTAGTCAACTAAAAAAACTCATTTTTAATTTTTTATTTTTTAATCTTTAATCTGGCACAAGTGTAGTATCCGTTGGTAAATTAAACATGTTAATTTTTTGACCTAACACTTATCCAACTCAATTTCATTTTGTCATCAAATTTTAACGAAGTTCATTGATAAGCAAATTCCACACCCAACAATATGTAGAAAATCTGCTATCTCTTCAAGAATAGGGCCATCAGAGAAATAAGTTGGTTTGTCACTGTTAATAACAGCAACAATTTGAATATTTAGAGAACGTAAGGGAAAAAGCCAATAATACCAGTGATAATGATACTAATATTTATGTCATCAAAATAATATAATAAAATTATGTCTTTTATTAAATCAATAAAAAATAATTTTAAGTGGCACAATCTTATATTTTGAGTGGTATAAACGTGGCATGTTATTAAATCAATAAAAAATAATTTTAAGTGGCACAATTTATATTTGGAGTGGTGTAAATATAAAAATAGCAAAAAAACGACGATTACATACGTAATTTTCTTCTAATAATAATATTAATAATTTTAAGCCCACAATCCTTTGCAAAAGAAAGCCCCTCTTGATTCTGTCCAAATGCCACAGAACAGTCAAATCTAAATAAACTTCTGTCGGTGTTTAACAAAGTTTAAAATTGACGTTGTACAAAAGGCGGATCTAATTATCAAATTTAGTCATTGACGTTGATATCAAAGTATTTTTTTAAAGGAAAAGGGTGATAATAGGTGGTATTTGCATCTCATCCTCACTTTATTGCCTCTTTTCAATAACGCGAGATAACACAAGATGTAAGAACTGGGATAGCAGTGATATATATATATATATATATATATATAAATTGTGCATGGCAGTGATATTAATTCTAATTCTTATTATACATTTAACTAGGTAAACACAATTAAGATATAATGACTAGTAGTCATTGCAATGCATAATGAACATCTCTTCACCATCATATATCTATGGGCATTCAAAGCAAATATATATATATATATATCTATATATCTATCTATGTGCATTGTTATAAGGTACTATTTTAAGCACTGGAGCCAGCCCCCCTCTTGCACAAGGTGGTTACTAATTTTACTGCAATCTTTTTTTTTTAATCCATTTCCCTTATTCTCCCCTGTCGAATTTTATAATTATGAATCTATATGAGATTTCTTAAAATGTTTTGATTACACCAAAAAATTTTGAGTTTACTTACACTCTCTTAAAAAAACTTTATAGTTGAGTCACGATATAACACTATAGTCTAAAATTAGAAGATCAAAATTATTAGTTATATAATAAGAAAAGATCAAAAACTTTTTCATTTATTTATGAGAAAAGCACTTGTTATAGCACGTTTCATCATGTAAATAAGATGTAAATATTATAAGTGGGATCAAACTCACAATCCCCATTTAAAATCTCAAAGTATGTTATAGCATATTGACTTTTGCCCATCAACATCGCCCATATATACGTCTCAGGCTTTTTCGGCTTCAATGGTAGTTTCGCCTCGTCGGCCCGACCTCAATGGCGGGGTTTCGCCTGTTGGCTTGACCCATTTGCATGTCCTGAACTACTCCTAACAATAATTTTATCTCATTGCCCAAACCTTTGCAGCGATCTTGGTTCGTTGGTGTAATTCTAATACCGATCTTGTCTTAGCCTAACCTCAATGGTAGTTTCGACCCAATCTCGACATCGTTTTTTGCCTACTGACGTGATGTCAACACCGATCCTATACTGTCTTTCCAACTAAACGTAATTAAAAAATGGGAAATAAATTATCAAAAAAGTGAATCAAGTTCCACGAAATTTCGTATGATTCGTGATATGATTCGAATTATGATTCGTGGCTTTATTTTTTCATAAAAAAACACACGTAAATTAAGAATAATTATGAATCATGATTCTGAATCCATCAACTAAACGTTCTCTAATTATAGATTTCAATTATTGTGTTTACTATTTTTTTTTGAGATTTAAATAAAGAAGAATTAAATTCTATTATTATGTGGTTTACACTTAGCTAAAAGAGTTGATAAAATAAGAATGTAATAAGTACAGTTACAAAAGTACCTTATGTGATGTAAATAATTAAATTAAAATAAGTGTGTACATTGGTAAAAGGGAAATCTGTTATTCATCCAAACATTATCCACGTAACGATTAGACATATATTTTATAAATATCATCAGCGCATGGAGCCCACTCAAAGCTTCCGCTTCGCCACATAAAAATTTATACGAATGAAAAAGTCAAAAAAACTTATATTAAGATTCGTTTAGTTTAATTTAATTTTTTCATTTAAGTGGAAATATAATTTTATATAAAAATTTTTATTATAATAAAAAAATTTAAATATAATAATTATTAAAAAAATTTATCATAATAAAATTTAAATTTTAAACTGGATGTAAGGAAAGGAAGGAGGAGGCCTGAATATATACATCCAAAATCTTACAATTATTGTTTGACCACGTTGGCTTAGGGCGCGTAGCAGCCAAGTCTTACGCCACCCGGCGCACGTTAGCGCTGTCCCAATCTTCTTGGGCTTCGCCACTTGCCACCAGTCTTCTCCTCTCCTCTCTCTCTCTCTCTCATAAAACCAGTTTCTATTAGAGGAAAATTCTGAGAAATTGGAGAAGGAAAATTCTGAGCAATTGGAGAATTTTGCGCTCTCTCTCTCTCTCTCTCTCTCTCATAAAACCAGTCTCTCTCTCATAAAACCAGTTTCTATTAGAGGAAAATTCTGAGAAATTGGAGAATTTTGCTTGCGCAATTTCGCTTCCTAAGGTGACAATTAGCCGCTACGCCATTGAATTTCGGAGAAGTTGTCATTGTTCTATTTGTTTCTTCTTCTTCCTCTTCTTCGGGAGGTCTTTTGATCCTCATATTGTTCGGAAATTCTTGGCCTTGCTCGATTTTCAGAGCCGTTTGGATTAATATTGCAGGTTTTATAACATTTTCATTGCTATTGTGTTATTGTTTCTGGTAATTTTGATGTTTATAATTATGGAATTCAAACACTTAGCTTTCTTCAAAATTTTTTTTTGGGTGCTTTTGGAAGATATTTTGGTCATAATTGCTGCTAGTAATTAGGCATTTTGAAACTAGGGTTTCAGATTGGACTGAAGCTATACGAGATTAACGTGAATCGCTAATTTTAGCTAGTTCTAGGCTTGTTCTGTTTTCAATTTTCTCTCTTTTGCTTGTTGTTTCGTTTTAAATTCCTTAGGCTGTTCAGATTTAGGTGGAGAGAGATTGAAGCCGCAGTTATTCTACAAATTGGGGATTTTTTATTTTGGGGCTGAAAATGACAAGGAAATATGCCCTACTATTTGGCTGGTTTAAGTTGATTTTCCCACTTTTTACTTATTTTCTGTAACTAAACAGTTAATTGTCATGCTTAAAGTAACATTTTCCCGTTTGACAAAAAAAGTGCGACTTTGAGTTAAATGTTTTGAAAGTTGAAGTTTTGGTGTTACAAGTGGTGATTTTTTTTTTTGTTACTACAGTATTACGACTATTATTGGGTTTAAGTGTAACTTTTAACCACAATAACGACATTGTGCTGGTAGTGGTATATGCACCTTGATCTCACCATGGCTCATGCTGGTTCGATGCGGTTGTCTCGTGACTGCGGAATTCACTATACTCATGGACGCTGTAACCAACACACTGTATGTCATATGTACAATTATCCTTTTCATTTCGTGCTCATTCTTGTGGCTCTAGTTTTCTCAGGTGCACCAAGGCTAATTCTTTTCTTTTTTTGCAGTATGTGTTGGGAAATAGTCGAACGAATTTTTCTGGCATCAATCTTTCTTCACATAGTTTGGTATTGGCTTTATGAATTCAGAGTCTTTTTGCATTTTCGTTTTGCTATCGCCCATTCCAATGATGTTTTGCATGAATGTCCCTGATTTAGATATTCTTTGTACCATTGTAATGATCAACGTCCTTTATCATTGTACGAGACAGCATTTGTGCTTATTTTCTGCAAAAAAAATTACAATGCTTTCCTGTATTGTATGTTGGTGTGGTAAAAGTCGAGGGATATTAAGAGAATCTGAAGCAATTGAATTTTATCTGTTTGGTTCTCAGAGACAGGATTCTTGGAGTCTTCATCTTTTAGGCTGCATACGTGGTCCAATAGGTCCAGTGTCTTCCAAGTGTAATGTTCTATTATGCAGATCTGTTTTAGTCCCTGGTGGAGGAACTGAGGTTCCTGTTCTGAAATCTGCTGCTATACTTTTGTCAAGGTATTCTTTGATATTGATCCGCTTAACAGAAATGATTCTAACAGAATATGTGGGGAAGACTAAATAGTCCAAGTGCATGAGTTTTCTTCCTCATTAGACCAACTAGACGACATAGTTTTTCTTTATCATTATACAGTTTGCAATTTGCCATAGTCTTTAACCTGATTCTTTCCTTCACTTTCTGTATCTAAAATTTCTAAATATAAGGCATCTAAAGATAATTTTATTCTAACATCGCGCAGATCATACATTGCTTTACGAGGAAGCCCTCTTGTACTTAAGTTGATTTCAGCAGTTGGTATTATTGCTTTTGCTGCTTGGGGTCTTGGGCCACTTGTACGTTTGGGAAGGGTCATATTTTTTAATGTATGGACGATACTATTCTCTTCCCATGTGTTAATTTTTAACAATGGTTCCATTTTTTAATTCTTGGTTAACTTTTATTGATTATTTTCGACAGAGGAGTGATAGTAATTGGAAGAAGAGTACTTCACACTACGTTATGACATCATATATTCAGCCCTTGCTGCTTTGGACTGGAACAACACTTATCTGCAGGTTTAACTTATGCTTCAATGAAATTTTGAAGTTGAATAGAGCTTAATTGCTTTACAGCAGTTCTTCAGCCATTTTGCTATTAACTTTATGAATGTGTATTTCAGAGCATTGGATTCTGTAGGCTTACCTACCGACGTGAGCCAGGCTGTCAAGCAGCGGCTTTTAAATTTTGTACGGTCATTGTCGACAGTGCTAGCGTTTGCTTATTGTTGGTCAAGGTGAATGCAGTTGCAATTCTTCTTATCCATCTTCTTAAATCTATTAGTATTGAATTCTTTTAGTTTTCTGGCATAAATTATGCACGCCATTTCTGCTTATTTTTCGTTAGCATGGATGTAGGGTTGGAAACTGTGCTGCCAATATTTTCCTGTTCTTATCAAGTGTCTAGAGTACCACCATAATAATTTATGCTTCTCCTCTTGTTGGTTGTCTGTTATTTAGTACAATGGTTCAGGTGTTGGAAATTTGGTTTTAAGCGGCCATGTTGTTTTATTTGCAGCTTGATTCAACAAGTTCAAAAGGTCTTTATGGAGACACATGACTCAAGTGGTGCAAGAAATGTATGTTTCTTTGCCTTTTGTCATTACGCTGCTTTCTGAATCTTGAATTATCTCTAATGAAGCATTTACAATTCGGTGCTAGACTTGTGTTGCATTTTTTTTCTTCTGTCTTTTGTTCTTTATTTTCCATCTTGGCTGCATTTACAATAAAATGTTGCCGGAAATCATGCAGATTTAAGAATACATTCTGTGTATATTCTCACCTCTTTAGAAGAAGCATTTGCCATTGGGGCATCTTCCACTTCTTCCTCAAATGGAACGTAGAGTTACAATACAATAACTAGTTTTGAAGTGTCCTGATAAAGCATCAGAGCGTATTTCAAATACCACTATTTGTTTCTTGCTTTGGCAGATGGGTTTTGATTTTGCTGGGAAAGCTGTTTATACTGCGGTATGGGTTGCTGCGGCATCATTGTTTATGGAACTGCTGGGATTCTCTACCCAGAAGTGGGTAACTGCTGGAGGTCTTGGTACAGTATTGCTCACTCTTGCTGGTCGCGAGGTACAATTCTTTTTCCCCACCTTTAAATTTCAATTTTCTTGTTTAATCCTTCTATTTCTTTATTTCTGCAACCGTGTGTGTGTGCGTGTTCATGTTTTGCAAGATTATAGGTTCTTGTAGGGCTTTCTAGATGAAGTTTATATCTTTTTCCCCACCTTTAAATTTCAATTTTCTTGTTTAATACTTCTATTTCTTTATTTCTGCAACCGTGTGTGTGTGTGTGTGTGTGTGTGTGTTCGTGTTTTGCAAGATTATAGGTTCTTGTAGGACTTTCCAGATGACTTTATATCTTTTTCTTCGCCTTTAAATTTCAATTTGCTTGTTTAATACTTCTATTTCTTTATTTCTGCAACCCCGTGTGTGTGTGTGCGTGCGTGTGTTCATGTTTTGCAAGCTTATAGGTTCTTTAGGACTTTCTAGATGAAGTTTATATTAGTTTTCTTTTTCTTGATGCAGATATTTACGAACTTCCTTTCAAGTGTAATGATACATGCTACACGTCCATTTGTTGTGAACGAGTGGATCCAAACTAAGATTGAAGGCTATGAAGTTTCTGGTACTGTCGAGGTTTGTCTTTATTCAGACCTTCATCTACAGCTCAGAAAATAGAATGAAGCCAAAACGGAAAATAATATGCCTATTTATGGACATTCCTCCTTTGATTATCTTCTCCTTAGCATCAGTGGGATTTAACAATTTGATTCCTTCCACGAATGGGGGAACCTAACTTTTTTCACTTGCGCTGGGTTGTTTTTCTGCTTTACTAATCTGTTGCATCATTCCAGCACGTGGGTTGGTGGTCTCCAACTATTATAAGAGGTGATGATCGTGAAGCAGTTCACATTCCAAATCACAAGTTCACTGTAAATGTTGTGAGGAATCTTAGCCAGAAGACTCATTGGCGCATCAAGACTCACGTAGCCATCAGTCACTTGGATGTCAATAAGATTAATGTGAGAAGCAAATTCAGTTCACCAGCTCGTTAAACTTGCGTTTCAAGGTTTCACATTTGATTCAAGAACTTGAGTTATTCCTTTTGTTTTGCAGAATATTGTAGCTGATATGCGCAAGGTTTTAGCAAAAAATCCTCAAGTAGAGCAGCAAAAGTTGCATAGAAGGGTTTTTCTGGAAGATATCAGTCAAGAAAATCAGGCTCTTAGGGTAGGAGTTTTTGGCTGCCTCCTGTTAGTTTTAACTTGTTATTATCTGATTATAATATCCTGAAATTCAGAATAAAGTACGAACACTTGACAGAAAAAAATGGGCAGTCCTTAGGAGATTAGGTTCCAATGTACATGCTAAAAGAGTTATTATGGTGTCTCAAGGTTTTTAGTGGGTTTTAATTTTTGTTATATGACTAACAACGCTTCTCTTTTTTTGGTCACTAGATCTTTTAATTCACAAGATAAAAGAATATGTATTGTCTCTCTCTTTGGATTTAAAACAGATAAGAGTGTTAGTTTACTCAAGGCGTATAGTTTGCCATCTTAAGTATTTTTTTTTGGACGTTGAATTGCATCATCTGCTACATAACATTGACTTATTTCTTCATATTTAGTTTTCTTATTTATTTGTTGTTTTTATATTGCAGATTTTGGTATCTTGCTTCGTAAAAACCCCACATTTTGAAGAGTATCTCTGTGTCAAGGTAAATATATCTTTATATTGGGAGAAATTTTAGAAATCTTCTATAATAAATGGAAAATGATTTTCCAGCAAAAAATAAAGAAATGTGTAAAAGCTTCTGTTCTTTGGTATAATTATAAATGAAAAAACCACGGTTGTGCAAGTCTGTTGGATTTCAGGAATGCAGTTTATCGGACGCGTTTGGAACTCGTTTCAAAATGATTTTGTTTTCTGTATGGAAATGAAAATGAAAACGTTTTCATTTTCAGACAGAAATCATTTTTAAAAATGCATTTGGTAGTTTTTTTTTATAAATTGTTTTCAGTCTAAAAAAATTGAAATTGCGTTTGGTAGTTTCATTTTTAAAAACATATAATAGTATTTAAAATAATAATATATTAAATAATTAATAATTAAATCCTAAATAGAAACACTAATAATTAATATAATAATTTAAATTACATTACAAATAAATAGTAAATAATTTAAAATAAAATAACTTAGTGAATGATAATTAAAAAAAAAACTATTTACTTAGTGAATAATCTTAGCTTATATTACTGCCGTATATACGAATTCCACATTTGATCAGCTAGATGATCCCTAAAACTAACCATGTGATTACGTTGTCGCCGACTACCCATTTTGACTGTTTCTGTTTCTTGTGTGTCCATACCTTATTGTTGTCCCTGTTGCTCTTCTTGTTCTCCCTCGATATCTTCTAAGGGCAAATCGACATCATATTGTCTAAATAGAGGATCATCTCGCGCGTGCATCTCAATTAAATTGTGGATCACACAACAAACAATTAGTATAAGTGATTGTCTTGGCATCCAATAATTGGTCATAAGCTTAAGAATTTTAAACTTTGCTTTCAAGACCCCAAAGCACCTCCCTATGCAATTTCGCAGTGAAGAGTGATAATAATTGAATAACTCTTGTGGTTCCGTTGGTTGGTCACCATTTTTAAACTGTTGAATATGGTACCTCTGACCATGAAATAGTGCTAAAAGCCTTGCGTGTTGCTGTAACCAGAATCCACAACGTAATATTTTGGGTTGGGTGGCACCAAGAATTGGTTTTGTGGATTTCTCATAGTCTCAGTTAACACTTTAGAATCAACAGCTGATTCTTCGCATCCGGGATTGACATAAGTGAATAATATATTGAAACCACACACCGCCATTACATTTTGAGTACACGAATGTCTTCTTCCTCTATAGACTGTCTCTTGATGTGCATGTGGGACAACCATTATGTGTATACCGTCTATTGCACCAATACAATCCTATTAAAATACATAAGGCGTGAGTTAAGATTAATTTAAAATTATTTGTCATATTATTAGTTTATGAGCAGAGTCAAATTGTACCTTAAACCATGGCCAGTATTTATGGTTGTATCGAATCTCTTGGGGGGGGGGGGGGGGGGGGGGGGGGGCGGTGTTTATATTTGGTGGTTTTATAACTTCAGGTGCTAATGCAGACAATGCGGTAAGCACATTAGCAAAATACCGGTGTTTTGTCTCTCTAGAATGAACAAATCTATCTTGTATCTCTCTATTGCAGTCGGAGTGAGCAATCGTTCTTAAGAACATCATTAGTGATTCTTTAGTTGATATACTTGAAGAATGTAGTAGGTAGCGAATTTGAATTAACCTAACAATTGCTTCGAATGTGTCTCGGTGCATACGACACATTTCGAACATATTTTCAGGATACCTATACAATTGTTTTAAAGCATATTCTCGTCCTGTTAACGCAAAATTACGACGAGGTTGCCTATTAAGTCTGTTTGTAAGCGACTTTAGCAATTGGTCAGAAATGTTTGGCTCTGCATCATCATCTGATGAGTGAAGAAAGTCCACAATTGTGACATCATCCTCACTATTTGTGACATCAGAATCCATATTAACCTAAAAAAGAAACATGACTAGAACTAATCAAACATCCATATAACATTAACTAATCAAACAATTAATAGGATTGTATTGATGCAATAGACGGTACACATATAATGGTTATCCCACCTGCACATCAACAGACAGTCTATAGAGGAAGAAGACATTCGTGTACTTAAAATGTAATGGCGGCGTGTAATTTTGATATGTTATTCACTTACGTCAATACGGATAAGAAAGATCAGCTGTTGATTCTAGAGTGTTAAATGAGACTATGAGAGATCCACAGAACCAATTCTTAGTGCCACCCAACTCAAAATATTACGTTGTGGATTTTGGTTACAGCAACACGCAAGGCTTTTTAGCACTATTTCGTGGTCAGAGGTACCATATTCAACAGTTGAGAAACGGTGGCCAACCAACAAGACCACAAGAGTTATTCAATTATTATCACTCTTTACTGCATAATTGCATATAGAGGTGCTTTGGGTCTTGAAAGCAAGGTTTAAAATTCTTAAGCTTCTGACCAATTATTAGATGCCAAGACAATTGCTTGTTGTGTGATCCACAATTTAATTAAGATGCACGCGCGAGATGATCCTCTATTTAGACAATATGATGTCGATTTGCCCTTAGAAGATATCGAGGGAGAACAAGAAGGGCAACAAGGTATGGACACACAAGAAGCAAAAACATCCGAAATGAGTAGTTGGTGACAACGTAATCACATGGTTAATTTTAGGAATCATCTAGTTGATCAAATGTGAGATTCGTATATACGGCAGTAATATAAGCTAGAAACATCCGAAATGAGTAGTTGGTGACAACGTAATCACATGGTTAATTTTAGGAATTATCTAGTTGATCAAATGTGAGATTCGTATATACGGCAGTAATATAAGCTAAGATTATTCACTAAGTAAACAGTTTTTGTTTTTGTTTTTTTGTTTTTTGTTTTTTTTATATACTAAGTTATTTTTTAAAAATTATTTACTATTTATTTGTAATGTAATTTAAATTATTATATTAATTATTAGTGTTTCTATTTAGGATTCAATTATTAATTATTTTAAATACGATTAGATGTTTTTAAAAATGAAACTACCAAACGCAGTTTCAGTTTTTTTAGACTGAAAACAATTTCTGAAAAAAAACTACTAAACGCATTTTCAGAAATGATTCCTGCCTGAAAATGAAAACGTTTTCATTTTCATACAGAAAACAAAATCATTTTGAAACGAGTTTCAAACGCGCCCGTGTTCTGATTCATGCTTGAGCTCGAAGACTGTCTTTAGATCACTCACAAAATCTGAGCGGGCTTTACAAGGAACTGATTAAGAATTCTACCTCTTTTTTTTTTCCTTTCCTTTTCTTTCCGCCAGAACATAATTGTTTGTCATATAGTGTATTATTTGGTAGAATTAAGGGTTCTAATCCAGATGTCCAGCTATTTGCCAAATTTTACTTTCTTAATATTAGATTTGAGCATTTTATGAGCTATATTCTGTTGGAAATCTGTCGTTCAAAAATTAATGGATGAAATGAAACAGGAAGCAATACTCATGGATCTTCTTAGAGTTGTCAGCCATCACCGGGCCAGGCTTGCCACACCCATCCGCACAGTTCAGAACATACACAGTGAGGCTGAACTGGAAAACGTGCCATTTGCAGACAGCATTTTCTCTCGTTCCAGGGGGACTGCCAACCGTCCATATTTACTGATTGAACCATCTTATAAAATTAACGGTGATGATAGAACAAAAACTTCAAGTCGTTCTGCCTTGACAAATGAAGACAAGGAAGCTCAGACTGAAGCAGAATTAACATTCGGCTCCAAGGCAGATGCCAAGGCTCGATCATCGTCGAGTATTGGCTCCAAAAATGATGATCAGGTTAAAGTAACATCAGACTCTAACTCTAGTATAGAATCTAAGAATTCTGAAGTTCCTACATCTGAACCGCAAATCCGAAATTTATCATCCGATGGTTTGTCTCCCCAGCACAAGAGTACAGAATATGCTGGGAAAGAGACCGTTATGAGTAATTCTAAAGATGCATCTCTACCAGTGGACACACCGAAGAACTCTCCATCCACTTCGGCTGAATCTGACAGTGGAAAAACGGATGCGCCTTTGGCCAACTTACAGGCAAAGCAATATGTTGAGAGACCTAATGCACTGTCATCGATTGCTAGGCCTCCATTGGAGGAGAATCTTGTTCTTGGTGTTGCTCTAGATGGCTCAAAGCGGACACTTCCCATTGAGGAAGACATGATAGGAGCGCCTCCTGCTGAAACAAAAGAACTAGCTGCTCACAACAGTGGCGGTTTGTCTTCGATTACCAAGGATATGAAAGATGGCGGCTTTCCTAGCGCTGGGCCATGACTGGTAGAACAAATAAGGTGACCGTTCGTTGATTGCTGTAGTTGTAACCTGCGCCATTAATGATTGTAGTTATACCGAAATGAATGCAGCTGAGTTTTTGAAGCTGCCATTACATTATATTTGATTGTAAATAAGTATCCAAGTAGGTACATGAAGAATTTATGAGCCTTAATGTAAAAACAAAAAGAAAAAAAAAAAAGAAAAAGAAGCAATTCTTCTATTCTATTATTTTTTGGTATGAACTGTCCCTGTTGCTCTGTTCTGGCAGATTCTGCTCAAGGGAGAACTTACCTTGGTGATCTGCAAAAAAAGTTTCTCGCGTCCTTTATTCTCACAATTGCCACGTAATCATTTGTGGTTAGTGAACAAAACTTTTTTTTTGGGCTCTGAAGATCAAAACTAAACTAAAAAAATGCTTTATAGATGATTTGAGGATACTTTTAACCTGTTCGACTAGAGTTCGCCTGTTCGGCTCTGCCTAGCATATGGAAATGTTCTTGGTAAACGAAATGGTTTCCGAGATTGACGTATTATGCATGACATAAAAACTGAACCTTTTGACATAAAAGCATCAGAGGATAAGTTTTTACTTTCCGACATAAAATGAGCTTCCATTGGCGAATTATTGCATGAAACAATTGTGTTCAACCATATGAATGTAACTTGGGGTTACTGGCATCAGATTCGTGAGACTTCCCAAGCTTATAACCAACCAAACTGTTAACAAGTGCATTGACATCTTTTTCTATCAAAAAAAAAAAGAAAAAGAAAAAAAAAGACAAAAAAAGCTTTTTTTCCCTTCTCAGTACCATTTCATCAAATCTGTTATCTTTCAATAATAATGTGCTCAAAAAAGCAATGTCTATACAGTACGTGCGAGATTCAAGAGATTAGTTATACTACCAAAGAAGATAATATTACAGAAAACAAAACTAGATCCCTCTATTCACTTAAGCTGAACACATGCAATCAGGAGCAGGATATGTATATATAGATTGCTTCTCTTTTCTTAGCCTGATCTGTCCTTGTCTATTTTTGTGCCCATCCACAACTGCCTGTTGGAACTCCGGCCACTCCATGGTCTTGTTCAAGAAAAGCTGCCCTAACAATCCCATGTTTGGCCTTATAGTCTTCATGTTCAGAAGAGCTCTATGCCCCACCTGAGGTTCAACAGAAACTTAAATCAGGATTTTTTTTTTGTTGAAGAAATCACTTTTATCCCTTCAAGATTTGAAAACAGTTTTTTTAAGACTTGTATTATACATAGACACGCAATAAGATTATTGTGCATGCTTACCAGAGCATTGTGCATGTTTCCGGGAGAAGCAGAAATGAATATGTCACTGTGCATGCTCACATAATAATCAACTGCAGCTAATAAAGAAGCTTTCCCTTCGACCTTAGACCGTTCGTCAGCGGAGGAAAGACTCTTCTTGTCTTCCATGAGTGGAAACAATTTGCACAAAGTTGAGATCCTTGCTTCTCCACCATAAACCTAGACAACACAATAAAAGAAGAAAATTATTCACCAGATTTTAGAGATAAAGACAAATATTCAAACTATCAGGCTCTATGTAATGACAGAATTTTGCTCTCTTTAAGAAAGACCTTGTGGGAAGCCAGATAGAGGCGAGTTCTATTGCTAAAGCCGAGAGCTGCTAGTAGTAATCCAATTTCTTCGGGTGTCAATGGGCAACGACCTTTGTTTCTTAACTCCTCATCCGTGAATTGAGAATTTAAAACCCTTCCTTGCCAAATCACCTGCCGGTATTTTGCAAGAGCCAATTTCTCCGCTTTACCACCACCAAAATCACAGGCTGAATGAGCAGCCATATCCTGCATAAAGTAATATCATGGAAAACTAACATTGGTAAATTGATAATTAGGAAAAGACCCTTCAAAAGCAAGACAAAATTTTGAAATATAACTTCAATGTATACTCTGAATATCTGAAAGGCCATGAACGTCATGGGTATTTGTTATCTGAAAAAGAATCAGGAAGACAATCCTCCAAGGTCTAGAAATAAGGACTAAAGATTAGAAAACCATACTCCAAAATCGGGATTTAGATTGTATTCACCAATTGAGACTTGATGGAAACTTCTAGATTATTGAAGGACAAATTACACACTCGGGTGATTATTCGAGAGAATTACCGTCTCTCCTCACAATTCTACACAATCCAAAAGTCCCAATCTCTAGGAACCCTTGCTTATTTATAGACTCTGCTAACAAACTACAACTCTAACTAAATTCAGTTATTACAAGAATGCCAAAAACTTCCTCCACAAGACTCTCAAACAACCAGCCTTACTTATTCAAGTCCACGTCAGCATCACTAATTATCTAACGCTTCATTCTCCTACTATACACCAACAATTCCCGGTTCCCATCAAGACTCTACATGATTCTTTAGTGAAAGTTACTTTAGGCTGCCTATGTTTCCGAATTGAAGGTCGCAGCCTGGAGTCTCCAATTTCACCTTCTGGGATAAATCTAGGATAAGCTCAAATTTAAAATTTCAATGGTTCTAACAACAGATGGTGTCATACTTTATCAAAGCGAAGATGCAATACAACGTACTTCCCATCTCCCTGTTTTTTGATCTCATTATTTCCCTCCTGCAGATACTCAGTCCCAGAAACTTGGTTCTTGGTAGGAGGGTGACGAAGCCGCTGAACAAGAGTTTCTCCCAATTCCTTAATATGAGGAACAAAGTCTAAAGCTTTAAAGTTGACTTTACAACGAAGACGCTGGATGTTTACAGGCAAGTCATTGAAAGTCAAGCGATGTGAGAATGGTGCAATGGCAACAATCCCGTAACTGTATAAATGAAAAGCAACTCGAGTTAGCAAATCATTTGTTGAACATGTAGTTATTACTAGTTCCTAAAAGCCAACTTTCAATGATCAAAAGATTATATAAGGCCCCGTTCATTTCACTAGTTCGAATCACAACTCAAGTTTTATTACAGTGTTTTCTCTCACAAAATTCAAATTCTTTTTCTGCTCCAGTGTTTTCTCTCACATGAATTCACTTTTTAACTCACGTTCTTAACTCGAACAAACGAAACGAATGGGGCCATAGATCAAAGCCAGTAAAGATCATAGAGAATTAAATCCATGTAATTCACCTACACATACACATTCACTTGTGTGTTCTGCAACTTTAGATTCTGGGCTTTTAGAAGTCAATTATAGTTGAAACATATAAGGATCTTCACACTTCACAGGCTACTTGTCACAGCCTGCTATCTGGTGTCTTTTTTCTGTATATGACACAGTTAATTAACTTGTATTCTCTCTCCCCATTTAACTATTCTCTTATGCAACATGTTTATACGCAGATCCTTAACTTTTATGAGACAGGAAGAACTCTACCATAATTTTTGTAAGGTGAAGACTTTCACATAGACAAGATCACTCCGCGATGTTTATTTTGAAAGGAAGTCCTCTAGATGGAGAAAAACACATTAGTTCTAAAGACTCCATTACATTTAGTCAACCAAAACAATATCACGAGTTTGAATCTAGCTATAATGGTTTGTCAAGTATATGGAAAATAGTGATTCATATTCTAACAAAAACCACAAAAAAAAATGATATATGTGTAGGTACCGAAACATGTATATGAGCAAGGACTTAACAGTCCGACATAGGCAAGGATCATGATATTCACCAACCTCTGCAATAGAGGCAAGACATTTTCAAGATACCAGTCAGCCGAAGCATGTACAGGTGCCGTCTTGATTCTAGTTGCTCTTATGCCAGTCGCATAATACTCTCTTGTACTCCAAGAAAAATAACTAGGAAGCTCTTTAACTACGGAAATCTCATTACGTAGTACATCGATAAAGTGATCCACATCAAAAATTTCAGCAAAAGAACTACAAGAGCATACAGGTCTGAGCATCAGCGGCTGTCTTTTAACTTAAAAAATTTCATTTTACAGGAATAGTAATGTGTTAGAAAGGTTGCGGGAAAAGGTTACTCAGCGAGATACCTTGAATCTTGCCACACAGGATTCACATCAAGATGTGGGATGACTAGTGTTGCATTTAAGATTTTCGCAACAGCAACTGCATCACAAATCTATTTTTCCCCCAAAAAATTAAACAAAATAGAGTTGATTAGACCATCTAGTAGCAAAATTGCATCTCAAGAACAAATTACGAAATCAAACAAATGGGTAATCTTGCATCATCTTATGATCAAATTTCCATACATTAGAGAGACTCTAATTTGTCTCAGTAAAGTACTTTTTACTTCTTCATTAGTAACGTCACATACCCCCATTTTTTGTTGGTTCAGACCTCCATCAAGGAACACCTGAATATACCCATTAGACTTCTTCAATGACACTGCAAAAAAAAAAAAAAGAGTTCAAGAATTTGAAGTTTAACCAACAGTTTACAGAAAACATCCAATAAAATCTCTTCGCAGAGTTAACAGAACAAAACAATATTAAAAGCTTCCATGTGCATCAGTGACTCACGTGGTACATCTCTGGGCCCTTCAAAATCAAGACAGGGTCTCCATCCTTGGTTGGCCAAAGGAGACCAGAGGTTCTTCTGTTGCTGAACAGACTAAATCACGAAAAAAAAAACGTAAAAAAAGTTTCACCAAAATCAAACGAAACCCATTTAACGCAGACCAAAAAAAAAAAAAAAAAACTGGTGGTTCTGGAGAGCTACTGACAGTGTGGCGTTCTAAAGCTCCGTTCAAGAGATGCAAGTGCATGGGCTTCGGAGCATTCCATTCCTGCGATTTTCACAACAATTTTGATCTTCGAATGAATCGGATCAAACATTTCATGAACATTATTAAATGGAAAAGAATTGAATGAAGAGAGAAAAGGAATCTTACGGAGAAGAGGGAAGGGAAGGCTCCGCTAAGAGGGCCGAAGAGATTGGGGGAGAGAGCGGACAACAGAAGAAGAAAAGCGGAAGCCAAAGCCAATCTCTGCGGCTGAGAGTGGCTGTGGAAGTTGTCGTATTGGAGCTTCATTGTTGGAACTCTGTTGTAACTCTCATCAATTTTTTACGTCGTTTTGGTTTCGATCCGACAAACGGAATCGGAAATTCGTTTTTCGTTCGTTGCTTCCTTGCCATTCTCCATTTTTATTTTTGTTTTTTGTTTTTTGTTTTTTGTTTTGGGTTATGAAACTGATTTTAAGACAGCACAAACGACATGTTATTTTGTTATTTCTGACGAAAACGACATGCTATCTTGAAAGTGATAAATGACACGTCGTTTTCTACCGTCTTCCCTGATGAATGGAGACACTCTTGAATCTCATCTTAACGAACTCTTTTGTTCAACACTGACGGTTGTTTGCTAAAACAAGAACCAAGATGCCATTTTTTTTTCCAGCTTCGACAACAGTTATTTTTGTAACAAAACACACTGCAATTAAAAAAAAAAAATGCTAGTTTTCTTCGAACATGAATGCTGTGCCCTTTTGGTAAATGTCGTTTTCTAGTTTCAAACGATGACCATTACATGACGTTGTCATTTCTAGTTTGACCATTTTTGTAAACGTTATTTCTTATTGACGTTTTGTCCTTTTACATGTATTAGATTAGATATTATATTTGGCATGGTATTGACTTGATTAGGGTCGCCACGGTATTTAAATAAAAATAAAAATAAATAATGTAAGGTAATTTACCATAGCTTAAATTACGAGACGTAGAACTAAAGAATTTAACCAAGTTTTTCAACTCAGCCATCCAACAACCACGGTTCTGTATAATCCCTACAACTATTCACAGCATCTCAAATTGGCACCTAGTACCTACATTTCATTTACAAATATGCATCCTTTCTTCTTTTCCCAAAAAGAGAGAGAACATGACCCTTCTGCCTCGACTACAAATGGGAATCCTCGTCGAGGCTTTCCACCACCCTAGTTTTAACCTCCATAGAAGGTGAAAGCCGCAGCTTTTCAGCAGGTTGCTGTCCAAGTGAGCCTGGAATCACCAAGCCATTGTCAATCATCTGCACACCATGACATGAATCTTCTGAGGAAGGTGCAAGCCTCGGCTTTTTCGCAGGTTGCTGTCTGGGCAAGTCTGGATCCACCAGGTCATTCTCAATCACCTGCAGACCATCGTTTGAACCTACCCCGTTGTCTTCCCTAATTGAGTCCTGAGGCATCGTCATATCAGGATATTCCAGGAAGGAGGGAATTGGCAGTCCACTTTCATTTCCAACTGGCATCATATCATGGTTTTGAGCAGCTTGGGCATCAAGCACGTCTGGCAACACTCCATTGCCAACCAGCATCACATCATCGTTTTGAGAAACTTGGCCATCAGGCTCGTCTGGCAACACTTCATTGCCAACCTGCTTATGAGAAGCTTCGGCAGCAGGCCCCTCTGGCAACACATGTGAGGCAGAAACAAGGCCTTCTGTAACAATTGCAATATTTTCAACTGGTTGAGAACTTTGTTCATCAGTTTTCTCCTCTTGTTTTGGACTTGAGCGCTCCACAACTGGGAAAGTCTCGGTGATCGCTACATCTGAAGAATCATCTGACACACAATCACTGGATGACTCCATATCCCTGTGTTCTGCTTGTAAGGAGATCCCAATGTCATATGTATCACCACCATAATTTTTTGGTGGATAAGGAATGCCACAAGTTTGAGATGTAATTCCCGCCAGTTGACATCCAGACTCTCCTGAAGGTAAAAACATGAACTGTTCACCAGTTTCCGTATCCTCCTATTATCAATCAGATGAATATCACGTTAGAAATGCAAGAAGAATTCTAACATTGAACGACTAGAATCTTCAAACGAAAGGACGTGTATGTTTTCTATGTCCTTGATGCAAACATTGTTTGCAATGGGGTCACGAGTCACAAAGTAATAGGGAAAGGGAGGTAAGAAGGAAGGATAAGTTGCCAAACCTCATCATTTGAATTTGAATTTTAAACCAAAATGAAAAAAAAACACCTGATAGAATACCGTATATCATATTGCCGTGAATAACATTTCGCATTAAAAAAAAAAAGCATAAATAATGGACCATGGACTTCCCATTCAAAGTCCATTTATCTCATGCTTAAAAGTATATAACAACCCAGGGATAACAAAAAAGAAATGTCAATACCTCCAATTGTGATATGGCTCCATTTAGACGATAATATGATGATTTCTGGTCAAACGATTGGCATTGTCCCATTAAAGATCCAGCAGAGGCTCCTGGATCAAAAAGGTCCTTGAGAACCAAGCCAGAATCGTTAACACACTGTGAAGGCCTCATGGAAGATGAAGATAAAAGAGTCATCTCAATCCCCTGCCCAGCTTGGGAACTTGATAGATTGTCTTGACAGCTTAGACCAGGATTGCATCTTGTTGAAAGAAACTCCATAGCAACGTCGTTTCTATTACTATATGGAAGGGGATCCTCATCACTGCTGGGCGATGAAGAGACTTCTCGAGAACGTTTTTCAAGGAGGTCAAAAATTAACCTCTGAATTAAAGTTCGCTTGAGTGACGCCTCAGAGGGTGGAAACCAATTGATATTCAGCTGTTAAAAGAAGTAACGATGTTAAAAACCAGAAGTATTGAATCAATGAGGACTAAATAAGATAAGCTTTGTACATGCTCTATAATTTAACAAAATACATAAATGGGAAAAGATTGTGGTTTTTAGTCACCAATGACACCCGGTACACAAATTCACACCTCAATTTGAGGCAAGTATCAACTGTCATGCCCACAGTCCATAAAGAACAAGCAAGAAAAATGACAACACAATTGCAGAATAGAAACATAATAGTTATGCGTTTGTTTACATATTATCACATAAATCCAATTCTCCACTCCATGCATGAAATGTTACAGACCTCGCCCTCCAAGTGAGCATCCACTTGCAAACTAAAATGTACAAGATAAATTTGAATTATGTACAAAATTGGAACTTGAACATGTCATAATTGACGTTCAAAAAGTTTTACATGCCATCTTTATGAAATTCTACAAACTAGAAGGAAAAAGAGATCTAAACAATAAAATAAAATCAGGTCAGAGAAGAACTAAATAAACTTACAAAGTTGGAAGACTTCGTTATCTTGAATGGACTAAAATTAGAAGGAACTTCAGCCAGAAAAAGCTCCAGGTAGTGAAGTAAGAACAGGCCACAATCGAATGAATTTTCCTGTTGTGGCAGCTGGAATATGCAAACCAACAAAAATGGAGGAGATTCAATTAAAAAATGAAATGCAAAAAAATAAAAATTAAAAAGACGTATCTCCAACTCAGAAGCACAAAAAACAGGAATGTCTTTGAATTCCTTTCTTGTAAAGCACAAAAAGCAGCGACAACAAAATCAACGACCCCCAAAAAGTGACATAATGTTTAAAGTTACTACTATAGGAAGACCAGAAACAACTCCAATAACTCAACTTTGACAGTGAGCATTACCATTTTTTTTTATCTGCGTTTTGATAATGGAGCTATAGATCCAGGTTTTAATATTTCAGCTCACAGAAGCGTTCCAGTAGAGAAAGTACAATACCGACACTTGAGGAAAAGAAAACAAGGCAGGATAACAAAATTTTCAATATTCCCCCGCGAATTGCTTAGTTCATCCATGGACTATTCACTTAATGCCAAATTTCCACATTAGTTAAATATTTACTCCCTACAGTATTTAAAACCTTATAAACCAGAGAAGAGGAAGTACCTCAAGGGAGACAAACCGTAGGTTGTGAAATCTTGATGACATTTCTTCAGATGTCTCCTTGCGCCTCTCTTTCCACTCTTCCCACAAATAACTATAATTCACGGTTATAGATGATGTCTCAGAATCCACGAGATATAAATTAGAAAACATATTACATAATAAAGAAACAATTATCCAGATACGTGGTAGTAGCCTGTTAGGCCCATAAATTACTTATGTTAGACGTGGGAATAAGAGGGCAGGGGCAGTTTAGTCTTTTGGGTGTTTTATGGATTTAGGGCTTTAGTATAAAGAGGGCATTAGCAAGTAATTAGGTTTATATGGAGTTTTGTCAAGTTATTAGGAATAGTTAGGAGTTTTGGAGAGATCGACCTACCTCTCGAATTGTAGGTCAGGATTTGTCTTTCAATTTACTTGATTAATAATAATAAGTCCTAATTCAGCCCTAATCTCAATTGATTCTTCTCTGAGTCCTATCAAATTGGTATCAGAGCGAATTCCTGGGACAATGGCAGCGAGGAAGGTGGACGCGCTAGAAGAGAAAGGAGAAACGGAGGGTGGATCGCTCAAGACCACCATCGACGAGCGATTCAACACCGTCCAACAACAATTTTCGTCCCTTGAAGCCATGTTTTGCTGAAATTAACAGAGCTCCACCTCAACCCACCACCGGTAGCAGCGGCGAGCCACGGCGGCGCGGCGGGAGAAGGGTCCGGTGGTACGAAACCCGAGGTCGGCGACGGCGCAGAGGGAGGAGGGTTGGAATCCGGCCGTTTGGCGCCGCCAGAGGCGGCGGGACGCGGCCGATTTGCTGGCAGGAGGAGGCGGCCTAGGGTTTGGGGCGACAGGATTTGGTGTTTTGGCGCCGCCATGGGGCGCGCCAGGGCTGGAGATGGCTGGGCACGGTGTGTCAGCGCCGTGGTGGGGAGATCCGGGACCTGGGCAGGTCAGATATGGGGTTGGGCACGCTGGGCAAGCCGGATTTGGGGCAAGGCCGGGCGGATCCGGACCCGGGTAGGGTGGATTTGGGGGCGTACGGCCGGGAGGAGGAATTCCCGGCGAGAGGGGGAGCGGGTATGACGGAATCGCGGCTGGGCAAGGTGGAATTGGGGCTGGGTCTGCCGGATTTATGGAGAATGGAGGAGAATCGGGAGGATGGAGGCCTCCAATGGCGTGAAATTGGACCGGGCATACCCAATTTGGGGTGGATTCTAGGGTACAGAAGCTGAAAATGCCCATTTTTGAGGGCGAGGATGCCTATGGATGGGTGTATAGGGTAGAACGCTATTTCGCCATCAATGGACTCTCAGAGAGGGAAAAACTGATGGCGGCGGCTTTATGTTTGGAGGGAAAGGCCCTTGCGTGGTTTCAATGGCGAGAACAACGGCAACCATTAAGGACTTGGGGTGAATTTAAGGACCGGCTGCTGCAGCGATTTCGAGCCACTCAAGAGGGAGATCTACATGAACAGTTTTTTCCCCTAATCCAGGATAAGACAGCCATGGAGTATAGGGAGAAGTTCAAGCTGCTATCGGGTCGCTTAGGGGAAATCTCAGAAGCGGTGTTGGAAGGGAATTTTATGAAGGGACTGAAGCCGGAGATCCGAGCGGCGCTACGTTTGCTGAGACCGAGAGGGTTAGGAGAGACGATGGAGTTGGCACAGATGATTGAGGATAAGAATGCAACGGTGCGAGTCAATAGGAGCAACACAGTCGGCTTTTCATACCAAAACAGCGCACCACCAGGAGGGCAGAAAACTCAGACGTTGGGATTTCAAAGAGAGACCCAAAAGGATCGGGATAGTGGGGTACGTCCGGGAGTGACTTTCAAGCACCTCACTGAGACAGAGATTCAAGACAAGAGGGCAAAGGGGTTGTGCTTTCGATGCGATGAGAAATTTTCCCCAGGGCACCGATGTAAGGACCGATCACTACAAGTCCTGACTGTGTGTGATGACAAGGAAGGCGGGGAAGCAGCTGAAGAAGAAGAGTTGATGGAGGAAGAACACCTGCATTTAGATGTGGCTGAGGTGTCGCTCAATTCAGTGGCGGGGTTCCCACCAAGCCATTCCATGAAGATTAAGGGTAGGATTGGAGAGCAGGATGTGGTAGTGTTAGTTGACAGTGGGGCCACACACAATTTCATTTCCAACCGCGTGGTGGAAAAGATGGGGCTCCAGTTGACTGACACTGGGAGTTTTGGGGTGACCTTGGTAACCGGAGTGTTAGAAACGAACCGAGGAATCTGCAAGGGGGTGACTTTGTCGCTCCAGGGAATTCAAGTGTTAGACGATTTCCTACCCCTGGATTTGGGAAGCACGGACGTGATTTTGGGGATGAAGTGGCTTCAAACGTTGGGAGCGATGAAGGTGAATTGGAGGCTGTTAAGTATGGAGTTTCAGGTAGGAAACCAACCAGTAATTCTGAGAGGCGATCCAAGTCTGTGCCGAACCTTGGTGTCACTGAAAACCATGGTGAAGGCGATTAAGGATGAGGGGGGAGGATTCTTGGTGGAGTTGCAAAGTCTTGAGGGAAGGCAGCCAGAGACGGTTGAGGAGGTACCGGAACCGATACAGGAGCTCCTAGACCAATTTGAGGGGGTGTTTCAAATGCCACAGGGTCTTCCTCCACAATGGGGCCATGAACACGCTATAGTCTTGAAAGAGGAAACTCTTCCTATCAGTGTCAGGCCGTGCAAGTACCCACAGATTCAGAAGGATGAAATAGAGAGGGTGAGGGAGATGTTGGACACAGGCATTATACAACCCAGTTTGCGTCGGGCAATCGGCGAACACACATCATCTTCTTCGTTACCACCAACATTGACAGAGGATATGGAAGTGGTGATGGAACCGTCCGCTTTAGAAGGCGTGCGTCGGGGAGCAACAGGTCATAAGGAGGTGCTGATTAGATGGAAGAACTTGCCAGATTACGAGGCAACATGGGAGCCATTTGAAGTAATTCCACAGCAATTTCCTGAATTCCACCTTGGGGACAAGGTGTCTTTTTGGGAGGGGAGTAATGTTAGGCCCATAATTACTTATGTTAGACGTGGGAATAAGAGGGCAGGGGCAGTTTAGTCTTTTGGGTGTTTTATGGATTTAGGGCTTTAGTATAAAGAGGGCATTAGCAAGTAATTTGGTTTATATGGAGTTTTGTCAAGTTATTAGGAATAGTTAGGAGTTTTGGAGAGATCGACCTACCTCTCGAATTGTAGGTCAGGATTTGTCTTTCAATTTACTTGATTAATAATAATAAGTCCTAATTCAGACCTAATCTCAATTGATTCTTCTCTGAGTCCTATCATAGCCAAATACTGGTTACAAAGAGAGAGAAAAGAAAAGGGATATAAAAGGAAAATAAGACAAGAAACAAACAGAGATCCATATCAACAAACACATATAAAACTAAAAGCAATATGAAATTCAGAATCTTAAAGATACCTTTGAATCAGATTTTTGAGACCTGAATGGTTTCCTTTTATAGAATCCATGTGCAATATACAAGGCACTTTAAGTGACTTGTCTAGATCTTCATCTGGCACATAACACAAGTTCATGAATAAGGGAGGATTTGGATAAAAAAGGAAGCAATTTCACAATCCAACAAAGGCTCACCCTGAAATGTAGCCACTTCACCAGGATGACATATGACTACTAGACTCCAGTGTAGACTGGCATTACAATGAATAAACAAATAGATCAGCACGCAAGTATTAGAGCCTACCGCAAAAGGCAAAAGCTTCATACAATTCGTCTTACCTAAAGTTTATGGGAATAAAGATGAATTCCTTTTCAAATAAATCAACTTTTCTCGTCCATTTACGAACTCGTTGAAAAGCAGCCTTGCCATCAGCAGCACTTGAAGGATCTTTGTCCAAGTCAGCCAACTTTCGAAAGAAAAAACTATTGAAAAAGTGGAACCTTTGTCTTTCCTCGGGTTGAATCTGATTTTTCAAGTACCTGCAAATAAATTGAGGTTCTAAAAGGAACATCTGAAGATGAAGTAACTAAAATAAGTTACACTCAGAAAACCTAGCATTACCCCCAAAAACAGTAAGAATATATTTTTGGCTGCCCATATTGTATTACAGCTCCATTAATCATTTAGCTATGAAAATTCCATTCCTTTCCAGTAAGTTAATCCATATAAATAAAAAATGCAAGATGATGCATAAGAACAAAACGTTATGAGCACAATAAGTAACAGATATGTAAACAGAACTTCACTTGCATCTCAATACGGAGTCAAAAGGGGGGAAGAAAAACTGAGGCAAACTTTGTACCCAAAAAGAAATGGCTACATCATACAATAGAAAAAGGACACAAATATATGCATATCAACTCACTTGATATAGAAGTCAACTATTGTATCATTGATGAATGTCTCTGGCTGTAACAAATCAACGTCTCTCTTACTAATGGAAACAGCATCCGTATCCCCTTTTGGATAGATAACTTCTTCGAAAGACTCATCAAAACTGTATAAAAAATGCTCACATGTACTCAAGGTAAATTACATACTTGAACAGAAACCATGGACCAAAATAACCATCTTGTTGTAACTTTGAAAGTATAAATGAAGTACTATCAAGTGAAGTAAACAAAATAACAAACTGTCAAGTGTCGAGCAACATTGACATCTTCATAATTCCATTGAAAAAAAAAAAAGGTGTAAAGGACAAGTATAACTCACACTGGAAAATAACGCCCCCGGCAAGGCGAATCATCCCCATATGTTCCCATGTCCATACAACTACTGAAAAAATGAAGTCGAGGATTAATGCTTAGAGCCATTCAACATAAGGAAGTTGAAAAAATAAATTAGCAATAATAGCCGTGAAGGATCAACAATGTTAAATTTCAATTCAAATCAGGTTCATTTGATGAGCACTAGTTGGTGACAACTACGAGATTTCTTAATTTTAACTTTTCAAATTATTTCTATGACTATCGACCCTAGAAGACGCTTTTATCATTCTGTAGACTAGGGGATGCCACAGTTCTCTTTCGAAGCTTAGTGAACTTTTAGACAAGTCAGTAACTAATATCATTTCATAGCTACACCCACTTATTAGGCCAATAACCAATTAAAACACAGTATAACACATGACACTGAAAAGAACAAGAACAACCAATTCAGATCTATACCTTAGTGTATCATCCATTTGAAATTGGATCAAATGTTATTTTGACCTGAATTCAGTGTCAAATTTCAGATGCTAAATCTCTACGTTTTCATTCTTGCTAAAAAGAAATTACAAAATGTGTGTGCGTGTGTGAGAAGGGTGTTGGGGGAAGAGGGAGAGGGGGGAGGTTGGCTGCAGAACATCGTACTCTTGCACAAATTGCCACACAGCAATATATCTCTGATGCAAAGATGCTATGTCATCCTGCTTCTGTGACCAGTTGGATTCAACAGCTACAATCTTCAATTCCTCAACACCTGAGAGAAGTTTTGGCACGTCATAAAATCACAAACACAGAGTCACTTCCTTTTTTTCCCCAATACAAAGACGCAACTACTATTTCAAATTCAAACAAATACATACAATACTATCTGTTTTTAAGATTTTCTAGGCCAAAACATTAGTGTCACGTTTGCATGAAATTTGAAGAAGATTCTAATGCTGTGGGGAGGTCACCAATAATTCTAAAAACCAAGTAGAATAACTTACCCAATACAATATCACCAACAATTTCTTATTAACAAAAAGACATTGTTGAAAGCAAGAAAGAAAAACAAACAAGCACCGGTTCGTACAAGTAGTTGTATACTGACCTGAAGGACCATGTCCACCATCTTCTTGAAATGCATCCCTCGATATCACCTCTAATTTTATCATCACAGTTTCAGCCTGAACAATGTCCACATGAACTGTACGTATTTCATACCATGCATTATAAAGATCAGTAAAAACTAACTCTTTCACAGGATAGTTGAAGACTCACCCTTTCGAACCACTGACACTGAATATTGACAAGGTCATCAATTCCCCATTCAAAGTCAAAGGCTTCTCGGCTTTCAAACCCAGTTGAGCCAGTGAGTTTGATGTAACTGTTGGAAAAGGTTAATTTGGGTCCTGTACAATAACTATCCCGATATATAACGTAATCAGGATAAAGAACAACGGTCGTATTCATGTCGTCCTGCAGATTTTGAAAAAAAAAAAAAAAACAGGGTAGATGTCAGATATCAAAATAAACACTAAAGATGACTTCATTAGAAATCAAGTATTTCCCAATACGTTCACAAAATTATGCATTTTTTCATACATAAAATGATTAAAGGGGGGAAAAATGCTAACGTCCAGGCAGAGGAAGTGGGTATCATCATAATATCAAAGAAAACAATCAGGATTAACACCGATAAAAAGATCATGTTTTAGGTAGGCGACTTGAATCAGATGATACAGGAGGGTGTTGCACAACAATGAGGGGCCCCCCAAGTGATTTAGAAACAAACTTAATAAAGATATAACACGGTTCACATAATGGTGAGTGACAGCACATGCGGATGAGTTTGAAAGAACTACAAAGAATAAAATAGAGACTTAAAAACTTTTTCCTCTCACAATGTCAATAACTCATGATTGCTATTACGCATATTATCAGGAGTAAGAAAGACAATTACCATTTCTGTATCACCGGAGCAATGATCAATTGCATGATTATTCAACAAATCTGAAAATTGAAAAAGAACGCCAATTTTCAACAAATAAATGTGAGCAGAAACACATGATGGGGTGGAAAGTATCAACATTCAATTAATAAGAATTTACCATCATCCTCTGCCATTCCAGAAGCAGGACTTGAGGGAGAACTCTCATTCATGCTTTGATCAACATCTGATGTCATATCAACAGGTTCGTTCTGCACAAATTCTAATACTTTAAGATTAACTTTACATGCTAAATTACTGACGAATGAATTGATCATGTACTCCGGTAAAATTAAAGAAAATACATTGGATGGAGAATCTAAACGATCACAGTTCAACTGGCTTTTCCCAGGGGAAGGGGCTTCAAGGTCCGAACATCTTTTCTCCGCTTCAGAAAGAAAACTTCTGGATCCATGATTATCTAAAGGTCTGAACTCAGGGCATTCTTCATGACTCGAGGATTGCAATTGTGGGGCAGCATTGAAACACTCGGTCCCAGAATCAATCTTCTCTTCAGCTTTATCCAGAGGGACATATGAAGTAGCATTACCACAACTAAGCTCACAGTCGACTGCATCAACATCTACACAAGGTGCACTCCCAGTTTCTTTTGTTGGGGTCTCCTGGGCAGCTAAAAGCACGTCCATATGAATTAAAAGACGTTTAGAAAGTGAGACTGAAGATATCTAACTGTTATTTTCATGTAAACCAAGCTTAAAAGCCAAAAATAATAGACAAACAAGATTGAGCAAGTTATATCAAAACCAAGTTGACCACACACGACTGATTTAAACAGGGAAACGATTCACTTTGAATTTGGAAGACGCTACAGCCAACTAGAAACCTCCTGATCTAAATGTATAGCTAAAGAAAAAATCTTGCTTTCCAAAACAATTCCAAAAAACTAGATTTCCAAAACCATATCTACCGGCGCCAAAACAGGGCAAAAACTGCCGAACTGAGATCAAATTTCCATGAAGATTAGCACTCACATAAAGCAAGCAACATCCAAAAAAAAAATTATCTTTTCTAACTTAACATTAGCATAACAAAGTGATTGAGCTACAAGAACACTCAAAATAATCAAATTCATCTTCATTCACGAATTTTCCAGGCAACCAAACGGAGAAGCAGAGAACAGCGCAAGTCACCAGGAGACAAAGACGTACCAAATCCGAGAAACTCGTACTTCAAAGCATCGTCGTCGTCGGAGCTAGGGTTTTTCAATTTCCCGTCATATTTGTCAACAGCCGATTCCGAGTTCTCCTCCGGCTCCTTGAAATCGAACACCTCCATACCTCGGTGCGGAGAGCTCTTCATCACCGCCTCCGATCGGAACCGGTGAGAGAGAGAGAGAAATCGACGAGAAAGCAGTGAGAAAGGGGATTAAGAGAGAGAAAATGTGTGGAAGCTGAAGGGAATTTGGGGGTGGAGAAGAGGGAGAAGAGGGAGAAGCGTGCCCTAATTTCTACTGTAATGAAAGAGCCAATTGGAGAGAACCAGTTGTTCCAGTCTTCCAATTTCTCCGAGTATGAAGAAAATTATATTAAAAAGGAAAGAAAAAAAAAAGCATATATTTATGAGTTTTATTTTCTTAAAAAATATTTATGGCTTCTTTCTCTGCCCAGGCACGCTTTTCGTACAACGGAACTTTCTTCGTCCGAACACAGGTTTACGCGCTTCCCCTCTATGATGCATCCTCATGGTATTTAGGAATTTGTCCCTTCTCTAATTTAGATCAATTTTCACTCATGCCCTGCATTTTAAGATTATTTTTTTATTTTTCTAAATTTATAAAAATTCTTTTGTTGAAAATAAACAAAAAAAAGACCATGTAAATTTACCATATTTAACCTTGTTTTTTTTTCTACTTGTAATAGAAATTCCAACCCAAAGAATTAAGTGGAACTGGATCTAAATTGAAGAATAAAATGAGAATTTTTAAAGTTTAAATAGTAAAATAAAAATAAATTTAAAATTTAGGGACACAGATAAAATAATTATTTTAATTTTAATTTATAAAAGAATAGTACACACAGTCACTTTTAGTTTATCAAATTATTGGATTTTTGTATTAATGTTTGAGGTACGTTTATTTCACAACTCAAATTATAATTTAAGTTGTCTACATGAAAAATTTGATAATTATAAAATTTGAATTGTGAAATGAGTAAGACACTTTGAATAATATTAAAAAGATGCTCAATACTTTAAAATACATTCCAAGTATTTTGGAGTCCTTTCGAGACATGAATATTATTTATGATATTTTTACAAATCAAGAATCTTAATTTGTCCATATTTAATTATGCGAAATTTAAAAAAAAAAAAATTGCAATAACGTTAGTCATCTGTGAGACTAAAGGATGACATTAGGACTGGATGGGGTACGGCATGTGGCAATCATCATCGAAAAGTAAAATGGTTAAAATCAAGTAAACTATACATTCTTACATTGCTTAAAGAAGATTTTGAGTAACTTTTTTTTTTAAGTAAGGATTATATTTCCCAATAGTATAAGGAATTTTGGGATATGATCCAAAAGTAAAATTATGCGGGTTTAGAACTAAAAGGGACCATATAATATCAATTAAAAGTGGGGATCGTTACAAATCATACTGAAAGATTATTATTTTGCAACAAAATTCATAAAAAATTTAAATTCGAGTTATAATTTTATTTAAATTCATGTTCTTTTATAAAATTTGAGTTTGAACTCGAGTTTGGGGCTAAACTCGAGTTCAAGTTTTTCCTTCAACTCGAGTTTATAAACTCGAACTCAAGTTAATAAACAGTATTTTTTCTATTCTTAAAAATGTCATAACTTTTTTTGTTTTAATTATGAATGATATGATTTTTTTTCTATGCATTCACAGCGAAAAGACGAATAAAACTTCACCCATATACCTTATTAAAATTCTTCATCACCATTGAGTTTTTATTAAAATATTACATAAATGTAAATTTAAGTTTTGACCCATCTAAACACAAACTCAAAAATATTCTTATTTCAAACCACAACTCAAATGTATACAACTAAACACAAACTCAAATTATAAGTTCAACTCAAGTTATAACTCAAATTCAATTCAATAATTATACTCAAATTAAACTCTAAAAGAACAAGCCATCGTACCTATGAATTCTTATAAGTATACTTTCCCAACTCTTGTACTGGTCAACCCCTCTTTGATCCTAAATTTGTCCTATACACACTTAGGACCCCCCGTTCACTTCAGCAATTCGAGTTTAGAATTCGAGTTTTGCTACAGTAAAAAGCTCTCACAAACAATCACATCTAACTTTTTTGCTACAGTAAAAAGCTCTCACATAAAATCACATCTCAACTCGAATTACAAACTCGAATCAGCGAAGTGAACGAGCCCTTAGACTAGTCATGGACACTTAAACCATGATACTCAAATTAAACTCTAAAAGAACAAGCCATCGTACCTATGAATTCTTATAAGTATACTTTCCCAACTCTCGTACTGGTCAACCCCTCTTTGATCCTAAATTTGTCCTATACACACTTAGGACCCCCCGTTCACTTCAGCAATTCGAGTTTTGCTACAGTAAAAAGCTCTCACAAACAATCACATCTAACTTTTTTGCTACAGTAAAAAGCTCTCACATAAAATCACATCTCAACTCGAATTACAAACTCGAATCAGCGAAGTGAACGAGCCAACGAAACAGAGTTGAACTGAGACAACCCCTTATTTGCATTCCCATATCCAACACCTATCTATCAATCAATAACTAAGAACGAGTGATTGTAACATTATTAAAATTTAAAACAAATTTCATTAAATAAGAGATTATTAATATTGATGCCCTCTGAATTTTAAAATCATCGTGAGTTTATCTTTAAACTTAAAAAACTTTCACTTTACATCTTAGACTTTGAATTGTTCTCACTTAGCCCCTTCTATTGCAATTTATGTTAAAAACATATAGAAAAAATGGTAAGTGTGATTATATGGTTTTTATCTGTTTATTTTTAACAAAAATTCAAACAAAAAGACCATGTGATTGCATTACTCTCTTTATATGTTTTTAAAAGAAATGACAACAAAAGGGATTAAGTGCAAACAATTCAAAGTTTATGGGGTAAAATGAGAATTTTTAAAGTTTAGTAGGCAAAGTGGGAATGACCCCAAAATTCAAAGACACCAATAAGATTAATCCTAAAATAAAATATAAAATTCAATAATACAACAACTAATTTCCCATGCCAACTAAAAAATAGAAGAAAAAAAAAGTAAAACACCTAAAAACTTAACATTTTGAAAACCACCGTAGGATGAACATAAATTATAAAATAACAAAAGAAAAATATAAAAGAGTTAAAACTTAAAAATGGAAGGAAAAAATAAAGTATCTAAAACTTACTGTTTAGAATTACCATAAGATGCGCAACAATTAAATATCTACTTTTTATATATTAAGGATTAGGATTAGGATTTAACACTTATGCAAGGCAAAAGAAATAAATAAAAAGTAAAAAAAAAAAAGCACCACAAATGTTATGGAAAACAAAAGGAAAAATAAAAGAGTTAAAATAAAAGATAAAACAAGCAAAGAAAAGAGAGAGAGAAAAAAAAAATTAAAATAGTGTGTAAATAGTTACAAAAAATGAACAGTACAGTTTTCACCAACTCTTTTTATATTGAGCATTTACTATTTTGATAATATAGGATTTAACATTTATATATCATGAGGCATAATGGATCATTTTAAAAAATTAAAAAGCATTTTAAAATATAGTACATAATTCAAAGAATTTATAAAAATAATTCTTTAATATATAGTGACATAGATGTGCATATATTTATAGACACAATATGTATATTGGATTGGATAAGATGAGATTAGGAAACTTCCTGATACAGGGGCTAATATTAGCTTTACACCTGTTACTGTCACTGTTTACTAACCCTCGTATATATGGGTCCATATAGCTTACTTACGTTTAGTTCATGGATTAGAATCATGAGATTAGAACCATTTTCAATTTACGTGTAATTTTTATGAGAGAAAATACTGTAGCGAACCAAGAACCATGATTCAAATCATGGTATGAATCCCCTTACCAAACGTGCCGTTATTGTTGTTCCGAACATTCTTAGTTAAATTTTATTGGTGACTTATTAAATGTGTTTGGAGTTATTTTTGTTTTTATATTTTACGGTTTTTAAGAAAAAAAAAAAAGAAAACGGAATAAAAACAGTGTTTGACACAATTAAAAATAAAAAACAGAAATAAAAATAATTTTTTAGTTTAATGTAAAATGGGAGAGAAATGAAAAACGATTTTTAGTCGTTTTTCATTTTTTGTTTCTGTTTTCTCCTCTCTCGAGCAGAGAGAGACATTAATGCATTTTTTTATACTGAAAATAATCTCTTGATAAAACTATCAAACACATTTTCAAAAATAATTTATGTCTGAGATTGAAAACGTTTACATTTTTATTTTCATCTAAAAATAAAATCATTTTAAAACGAGTTTCAAACGCACCTATTAGTTATAACTTGGCTGTATTCCTTGTTTGGTTTACTGTTATGCAAAGCTTTTGTAATTGGGATTTGTTGTTTCCAATTCCTGCCTTGCATTTTTTTTTTGGGGGGCCATGAATTAAAGATGATCATGCAATGGTGGTTTGAGAGAAATAAAGAGAGGTGGAAAAGAGAAGAACACAAAAGTCAAACGAGAGAAAATGGTGATTATTTGTTTGTTAGGGTTATTAATACAAAAGTTCACAATCAAATTCAAGTGACAATCACAGCTCACACAAGGTATTAATTATACGAAAGAAGTACAACCTCTTACTACTAGTACTCTTTTAGAGAATGAGAAAGAATCCCTTCTAAAGTGGACATAAAGGTAAAGGAAATTATTTTCAAGGCAAAAAAAACAAAATGTCAAGTTCAAATTTTACCAAAGATCCAAAATAAGCATTCATCTCAGCTTCTATTAAATTTTAGACCTAATTTTAGGCGATGATATTTTTATTGGTAAAAAAAGCTTACTCAGATTATCCACATATTGTCGCGTTTGATTCTTGGATTTGAATTTTCAATTCGAGCTGAGATGTGACATTTTCTGAGAACTTTTAACTGTAACAAAAAAAGTTAGATGTGACATTTTCTAAAAATTTTTAACTGTAAAAATCTAAAATTGAAAACTCGAATCGGTAAAATGTGTTTCACGAGATCTATTTCTCCCTTGTCAATAATTAATGTGCTTCACCAAATAAATCAGTATGTATGTTCGTGAACTTCTCTATAGCTGTAAGATAAGATCTATTTCTCACTTATACAAGAGGAAAGTACTAATTTTGCGTGCACTTGAACTTCAGTCTTCAATATTGAGAGGTCTCTCAAACATCCCTTTATGTTTAATGTAATCTTGCTTAATTAATTATTAGTTACAACTTAGAACCACAAATTAAGTTAAGACAAAAGGACATTCACAAGATCAAGTTCTCTTAGCCAGAGTGATATCCTTCCCAACAAATTTTTCATTACCAACAAATATTAATTAAAACTTACGTAGTACAGGAACCCCATACATGATCTTCCAATTCCAACATCACTACCTTATTCATGGTGCAAATACTAGTATATTAGAATATCACTACGTTATATAAACATCTTCCTTAGTTCAATCTTCCCCATTTTTAGCTATAGAGCCGAGAAAGGAAGCCTGCCAAAAGTAGGAAATATATATTATCGGAAAAGAAGAATGATCGATGATTAATTAACCAGAATTTCTAACAACACATGCATATGTAGTATTCAGAATTGAAAAATATGAATTTGCAATAATTCACGCAGACTGTATATATGCACCTCGACATATATTTATTTTACTTTTGAGCTTTATTTACTTAATTTTTTGTTCGTCACTCAAAAAACAATATGTGATGCTTAAGATCTTTTGATCTAGTGGCACTGGAGGATTTGAGTGAGATTGCGGGTTCAATCTTATGTTGTATAAAAAAAAAAGTATGTGATCAGAAAGGTAATTGTCATAGTTGTTAGATAACCCATGTAAAGTTGGCTATATAGGTAGAGATCCTGCATATATACATACACACATATTATTACACGCATTCATATAGCTACATAAATGTTAAGAAAACAACTCCCTTTAAATCTCACAAATCTCCAGAAATCACACACCAAATTCCACAGAAACCTCGAGGATTTTATTACTTACATAAGCAATTCACAGATACAAGAATCACAATAAGAATTACAGACTGAATTCACTTCTCTCTCTATCCCTTTGTGTTTCTCTCTCTAAAACAGAAAATACAGACTCTAAGATAAAAACGAATCTAAACGAATCTCTTTTATTAATTTTACAAAATGCCCCCAAATTACTCACCACTCAGATCATGCCAGATCACACTAAATAACAACTTGGATATTTCCTAACTAACTTGTAATTATATTCTTACCAGAATATTGGAACCATTATTTACAGCAATCTTCACCTTGGTTCAATATTCTTCTTCGTATCTCGGCATTGCTTCTTCTCAAGCATTGATTCTCTAACCTTCACCATTCCAAGCAATTCCAAACAATGATTGAACTTTGTTCCACAAAGTGCTTTTGTCAACATGTCTGCAGGATTTTCCTCAGTTGCAATTTTCTGGACTATCACTGAGCCTTTTGCTACAACATCCTTGATGAAATGGTATCTGACATCAACATGTTTTGTTCTTTTATGATGAACTTGGTTCCTTGTCAAACATATAGCACTTTGATTATCGCAAAACATAGTACTATTCCAATCTCCTTCTGAATTAGAAACTCAGAAACCAGACCTTTAAGCCAAATTACTTCCTTCACTGCTTTGGTTGCTGCTATATATTCGGCCTCAGTTGATGACAAAGCTACAACAGGTTGTAAATTAGACTTCCAACTTACAGTAGTCCCATAGACTTTGAACACATACCCTGTCAGAGACTTTCTTGTGTCTAAACTTCCTGCAAAATCTGAGTCCATAATCTGCTTTACCATGTAGATATCTCATCACCCATTTTGCAGCTTCCCAATGATCCTTACCAGGATTAGCCATGAACCTACTTATCACACTTAAAGCATAGGCTAAGTCTGGTCTACAACACACCATTGAGTACATTATACTTCCTACAACATTAGAATAATGGAATTTCTCCATGTATTTTTTCTCCTCTTCTGTATCAGAACTCTACTGTTTACTTAGCTTAAAATGCTGTGCTAGTGGACTATTCACTGATTTGGCCATACTCGTACCAAACCTTTCCTAGACTCTTTTTACATAAGTCCCTTGAAACAAAAACAATTCATTCCCTTTTCTATTCCTGAGAATTTCCATCCCAAGAATTCTTTTAGCAGGCGCCCTAGATCCTTCATCTCAAATTCTGATCTCAAAAGACTCTTCAGATTTACAATCTCATTAGAATTTTCACTTACTATTAACATGTCATCCACATACAAGAGCAAGTAAATAGGTTTCACTACTTCATGACCTTTGTAATAAACACAGCAGTCGTATCTACTCCTGGTAAAACCTATCTTGAGCATAAACTTATCAAACTTCCTATACCACATTCTCGGAGGCTACTTCAAACCATAACAAAGATTTCTTAAGGAGGCATACTTGATTTTCAGTTCCAGCTGCTATGAATCCTTCAGGCAGCTTCATGAAAATGGTTTCTTCCAGTTCCCCATGTAAGAAGGTCGTTTTTACATCCATTTGCTCTAATTCCATGTTAAAATGTGTCACCAAAGCCAGCAAGATCCTTATTAAGTTATGTTTTACTACAGGTGAGAATATTTCAGTAAAATCTACACCTTGCCTTGAGTAAACCCCTGAGCCACCAACCTTACTTTATACCTAGCCTTTTCAACCCAAGGTATTCCACTTGTCTTCTTAAAAATCCACTTACTGCCAACTATTTTCTGATTTTGGGGCTTGTTCACTAGAATCCAAGCTTCATTCTTCTTTAAAGAGTCCATTTCCTCCTACATAGCATCTTGCCAATGATTGTTGTTCTTACCTGTCACAGCTTCAATGTAGCTCATGGGCTCTTCTTCAAGATCCAACTCCAGACCTACTGTCAATGCAAAAGAAATAAGGTTTGATTGACCATATCTCTGTGGTGCTTTGTGTTGTCTCCTAACCCTGTCTATGGTCAATCTATAGTCTTCAGTTACAGTTTCTTCTTGTGTACACCTCCTGATCTTCTTCTCCCAATTGACCTTGGTCATGTCTCTAATTAGTTTCATTTCTGGGGTTCCCTTCAAGCTCCACCTCAAGCTCTATAACCTGTTTCTGTGAGCTTGATTGACTTGCAACTCTATCTGCTTTCACCAGGTTTGCCATATGTTGCTCATTAAACACAACGTCCCTACTCATCAGGCATTTCTTTTGATTTGGCTCTAAACACCACAGCTTGTACCCTTTCGCTCCCTCGAGGTAGCCAATAAAAACACACTTTAGTGCCCTAGGCTCCAGCTTATCCTGCCTGATGTGTCCATATGCAATGCACCTAAAAGCTCTTTACCTACTGTAATCTGCAGGTTTTCCACTCTAAATTTATTAAGGGGTCTTGAATCCTAATGCTGTAGAGGGGCACCTATTCATCAAATAGGCAGCAATTGACATTGCCTCTCCCCAAAACGTCTTAGGTAATCTAGCATTACTGAGTATGCATCTCACCCTTCCAAATAAAGTTCCATTGTACCTCTCTGTGAGTCCATTCTACTGAAGTGTCTTCCTCACTGTGAAGTGCCTTGCTATGCCAGCTTCCTTGCAATATTGAGTGAACAGGTATGTACAAAACTCTAGGCCATACTCTAGGCCATTGTCAATCCTGAGTTTCTTCACTTTCTTCCCTGTTTGAGTCTCAACAAGAGCCTTCCATTCCTTGAAACGCTGGAAAGCATCATTCTCGTTTCTCACTATGAATACCCATACCTTCCTCGAGAAATCATCCACTATGAACAGAAAATACCTCAAACCACCATGAGATATTGTTCTTGAAGCCCCCCACAAATCCGAGTACACATGCTAAGATTCCTTCAGTAGTGTGTTGTGCAGCAGTGAATTTTAGAGCCCGTTTAGTTCGCTGATTCGAATTGAGATGTGACTTTATGTGAGAGCTTTTTACTGTAGTAAAAAAATTAATATGATTGTTTCTGAGAGTTTTTTACGGTAGCAAAACTTGAATTCTAAACTCGAATCGGTGAAATGAACGAGACCTTAGTCTTTTCACCTTACCATGTACACAGTGGTCACAACACTCCAAGGATTCTATCCTATCACCACATAGCAATCCTTGTTTGTACAAATCCTCCAATGCTTTAAGACTAACATGGCCTAACCTTTGATGCCACATCTTAGTTTTATCTATCTGTTCACCGGTAGCATTTGAAGAACCCCCCAGTAACAGTTTTGCCCAATAAAGAATACGACCCATTTATTCTTTTCCCTTTCATTTCAGTTAAAGATCCTCTACTGATTCTCAAAATGCCATTTTCACATTTGAAACTGTACCCTCCAAGGTCCAACATTCCCAGGGAGATTAAATTTCCCTTAATTTCAGGGACATACCTTACATCCTGTAGAATCCTTTCTACCCCATCGAACATCTTGATTCTTACAGTTCCAATGCCTTGTACTTTGCATTCTTTGTTGTTTCCAAGCAAGACTACACCATTGTTACTCATCGTAATTGTCTCGAACCAACTCTTGTTTGGACAAATATGATAGGAGTAGCCAGAATCAATAATCCATTCTTTACTTGGATCTCGATCTGACACCAAGAGAATCTCAGCGCTTTCATACCCTTCTTCCACAAGAGCAGCATCCCTTGTGTCTTTCCCTTTGTCGGCAGGCTTCTTCTTCCTATCTGGGCAATCCTTTTTGAAGTGACCCTCCTTGTGACAGTGAAAGCACTTTCTTTTAGTTCTTGACTTTGATCTTGTCTGTTGTCTGTTCTTGTAATCTCGTTTTTCTGGTCTTCCTCTCGTCGGCTGGGCCTTTCTCCTTTGCTTCTCCATTTTTCTGAGGTTCCTTTGAATTGAAAGCCGCTTTAACTTCAGCCATTGTCAAGGACTCCTTCCCATGCAGCATTGTGTCCACAAAATGCTCGTATATCTTCGGCAAAGAACTCAGAAGAATGATTGCCTGGTCTTCGTCATCTATCTTGACATCGATGCTCTTCAAATCCAGGTCAATTTTATTAAAATCGTCCATCTGTTTCTTCAAGAGCTTCCCCTCATCCATATGCAAAGTGTACAGTCTCTTCTTGAGATAGAGCCGATTTGCGAGTGATTTCCTATGTAGAGAACTTCTAGTCTTCCCCAGATCCCAATGGCTGTTGATTCCTCTGCGACCTCTCGAAGCACTTCATCTCCAAGACTCAGAAGAATCGCACTGTGTGCCTTGTTCAGAAGATCTACGCGAAGCTTCTCGCCTACCTTCGCGATAGCCTCCGAGGACAAGGCCGTGTCCAATCCTTAATGGACCAATAGTGCCTTCATCTTCAATCTCCACAAACTGAAGTCGTTTGTCCCTGTGAATTTCTCCACTTCGAGTTTCGCCATAGCCATCTTCTTGAGCCCTAAGCTCTGCTATCAGTTGTTAAGAAAACAGCTCCCTCTAAATCTCACAAATCTCCAGAATCACACACCAAATTCCATAGAAACCTCGAGGATTTTATTACTTGCATAAGCAATTCACAGATACAAGAATCACAACAAGAATTACAGACTCAATTCACTCTCTCTCTCTCTATCTCTTTGTGTTTCACTCTCTAAAACAGAAAATACAGACTCTTAAGTTAAAAACGAATCTAAATGAATCCCTTTTATTAGTTTTACAAAATGCCCCCAAATTACAAATTGCTCACCACTCAGATTATGCCATCTGGCAAACTAAGTAACAATTTGGATATTTCCTAACTTGTAATTCTATTCTTACTAGAATATTGGAACATTATTCACTACAATGAAGATGAAGGTATATACATGCATATTTCTATGTTCTGGAAATTCAGACAAGGAAAAAAATAGCAAAAAAGAAATCGAAATTTTTTTTAAAATAGCTTGTTACCCTAATCGGAGAGATGTATCAGAGCAGTCATTCTCGAGTGAAGGAGTGTTACTGATGGTGGTCGCAGACTGATCTGATGATGACATTCTCTGATCTAATTCCTTTGCAATATTGTTCACGTTATTATCTGACTCCAAGGTTTTGCCTTTAGAATGCAACACCATCACCTGCAACATCATTTTATAAAAAGCGTATACGATCAAAATATTTTAAAATCAAACTAATTAACATGGACAAAGAAGAAGTAGTGCTATATTCATTTGTGAGTGATATATATATATATATATCTATGTGTGTGTGTGTGTGTGTGTGTATATGTGTGTGTATATATGCTTATTACCTTTTGGCATAGTCGCTTGTTCTATTTATACCTCGGAATAGATATAACATGCATTTTTTTTATAAAAAAAGGAAAGGAATATCAGAGCTAGGGAGAGCTTTGAATGTTCCTTATGATCAACATAACCATACGATATATATGAGTATATGATATGAATATAAGTACATTAAACTAATAAATGATATGAATATTATAAGTGCATTAAACTAATAAATGATATGAATATAAGTACATTAATCATACGGAAATGAATCCTGTGCTGAATATTTGAAAGCTTTAACAATGATCACTTTCAGAATATTGATGGATGGTTATTATATTACATACACAATTGTGACTTTTAAATGCTAATATTTTTGCTATTGGTTAATCAATATCTAGACATGCGTGATTGCTAACCTCCTTTTCAAGTGCGGCAATGTCACTCATAAACCGGTTTTCCTGAAAGTGAATTGGTAAGACATACAGTAATGCAAACAAATTAAACTTGGAAACTTGAAAGTAGAAATTAACTTTCAAGGTGGGAAAAAGAAGATTAATTAATTAGTTACAAATTCGTACATACTTTAATCTCATGCACACGGGTAAGTCCAGCTTCGAGCTTTTTCTCCAATTGTTGCAATTCATCTAGGGTTAACCCTTGAAGATCCACTCCCATCATCTGCCTATATAGTCGTCAAGAGCTAGATCATTTATAACATATACATATACATATATCTACATACTATACAAAGTTAAGCAGAGATATATATATATATATATATATATATAAACGCATTAAAATATATATAATATTACCTTAGCTTGAGGCTCTTATCTTCAACTTCCTTACTCAACCTGAAGCGATTCATATTATAATGTAGCTAAGATGAAGAAAAAGGAAAACTAGTTACTATAATAAGTAATAATAGTTAAGTGTTATTATAAGCCCCACAAAGCTTGAAAAAACATTAATTAACTAGTAAGTACCCCACAAAGCTTGAAAAAACATTAATTAACTAGTAAGTACCCCACAAAGCTTGAAAAAACATTAATTAACTAGTAAGTAACCCAAATGGTATATATAACTGGCTGAGCGGGAGAATTTTTCAGATGCTCGATATATTTATGGCATTAAAAAACGGGGTTTAGTACCACTTTGAAAAAAAAAATGCATCAAGAAGAATTAGCACATCAACTAGCTAGGTTGGTAGCTGCTACAACCCAACCTCTATCCCACACTAAGCGCCGTATACTCAAAATTAAATTAAAATGAAAGAAAAAGAAATACAGAGACCCAACCCAAGGCAAGAAAACAAACACAAAACTATCCAATAAGGAAAAAGATAGAGAAACCATAAACCAACGAGACAACTCACAACCAGAAGTTAGAGCTTAAATGCTTTGAGGGGTTGTTTGGTTCACGGATTCAGCCTTAAACAATTCTTAATTTCGTTCACAATTTATAAATATTCGTGCCTCTCATTTTCGAGCAAAATTAAACCCAAAGAGAAAAATCTCAAGAAGGGAAAAAGAACACACGGACCTCACCCGAGCATAGAATTAATATTGCTCAGCGTAGGCAATGGAAAATATAAGAAAAACGATAATAAGGTGCATATATAGACATTGGTGTTACATTACAATGCTGAGTCGAAATTTTAAGATAAACTAAATTTTAAGATAAACTCAAGTAAAGGTGATATGTAAAGTATTTGGCACTACCAAAATGCATTTATTTAATTAATTAATTTCAACATTTATAAAGCTCATATACAAATTAACTATCAGTTACCTGCAATTCAAGGTCCAATTGCTGCGGGTTATTGTGCTGTATATTCCGCCTTTCAATAAGATCACTCATACTTCACAGAGACAATTATACATGGAATATCAAAGTACATGAGTTATATATGCGTACATGGATATATATGGCGATGAAGTAAAAGTGTAAAAACAAATCAATCATCTTGTTTCAGATATGTATATGTGTGTGTGTATGTATGTATGTGTATATATACACACGCACGTATTCCAAGCTAATCATAAACTAGGGAATTTAACCGGGTTTTCTTTGTATGACATACATAATTAGGTTCCGATGACAAAATGTAATGACTTCTCTCTGTTGACAATAAAGTTGTAGAAAGGTCATGAAGGTGTAGTTTTTATAATTAATACGCATACGATTTAGGACATGTATGCTAATATTGTAGAATATTCTAGGAAAGTTGTCGACAGAAAGCCTAGCTGTCACATTCATCACGGCTCAGGGATTCATATTATTCACATGATCAAAGTTTAGGAGCAAATATCAACGTAATAGAGTAAATTGAGTTAAGATTTGGGAAATACAACGTGTTATACAATTTCTTTTTTTTTTTTTTTTAAAAAAAGTATAAATAAGATAGTTTTGAAAGATATGAATGATCTCAAGAGGCCGTTAAGAACTGATTACATTACAAAAATTTATGCACTTAGTGACAACCTTTTCTGTCTCGGCCAAAAACAAAAAGTATGATCGTATTCACCTAAATTTTTTTAGATTAAGGCAGTGCTTCATTAGAAGTAAGTATCCTAGATTTTCTTAATTGTTTGCCAAGAATATTCTTGATAAGATCAATATCCACATACAATATATATCTGCTTATATGCTTAGAGTTATATCTGCATGGTGAAACATATCGCCTACGCATTCAAGAACGGTTAATTACCCTTAACCTGCTTTACTTTGAGAATAGTTATTTTATATGAACCAAATAGTATTATCAAGCATGATTAATTAATATACGTATTAACTAATCTTGTAAAAGAGTGTAATGCAAAATGGAAAAATTAAAAAAAGAAGAATTAGAACTTAAAAGAAAAGAAAACGAAAGTATGCTTGCTATTTCATACTTCCTTTCTATTTTTAATTAGTTATTAGGAAAGTAAAGTAACTGATTCTATTATTTCCGGAATAAATCATTGATAACTTACCGCGCGTTTGTTTCATTAATTTGAACTACTATTTAAATGTTTTTGTTAATAGTGTTTTTTCTCATAGAATTTAAATTTCTACTTAAACATTTATGTTTAAACCTATGAACCAAACAGGTCCTTAATTACTAAAAAGTCGTCGTGCATAAATAGCGCATAGTTCTTGGCTAACAATTTAATTTATATAGATAACTTATTTTGTAAATTATAAACAATGCATGAATATGGGAAAGGGAAACACACCATAAGTATGATGGGTTTAAACGATTGACTAGGATATTTTGCATGTTTACTAATTGATATGAATAAGGGAGAGAAAGGGAGGAATTGTTTCACCATTTCATCCATGTTTACTTACAAAATTATTACTTGTATGATTTTTTTTTTAAAGATATGAATGATATGATTAGTGTTAGAAATAAAAGGGAATCCTAACTCATACTTCATATTATTTGCCAGCTAACTGAAATAAATACCGACATTACTGTTTTATTCCCTCATTAAACACAATGATTATTTTATTATATATGCGCAATCACATTTTACTAACTATGATAAGATTCTTATATACTAGAAGGGGAATTGAATTGTTTCTAATTCTACTTCTTAATAAATGAGTAAATACTAGAAAGTAAATAAATGATCCCTATATTCATGCTCTTTTTCTTTCATTTCCAAATCCAAATGGCCCGTTATATTTCATTACAGTTTGATAAACATTATCTTGCATTTTAAAACTGTATGGCGACCATCAACTACTCATTTTGTTTCCTTTTTTTCTTTAATTGGTTAATTAAATATTCAAGTACTCCTTCTATCTTTTTCTTAATTTTAAATGCTCAAAGGACTTTTGGGAACCATTACTAAAGGTTACATAGATGAACACCCAAACATTGCCTTATCAATCAAGCATATTTTTCCTAGACGCATGATTAATGACTTTCTAAGCATTTACAACCTATCGTTTTATCATTACGAAAATAAAAATGAACTTTTAGTCACAACATTTTTGTGTTATTAAATATCACTTTTAATCACAACCTTGTGATTAATGTGCATTTAGTCACAACTTTTAGTGAGACTAAAACATTTAGTCATATGATTTTTAGTCGTGGAAAAAAATTACTAAAAAGTTTCAGTGACTAAAAAACTGTAACTGAATGTTTTAATCACAATACAAATTTGTGACTAAATGCACATTAGTCGCATAGTTGTGACTAGAAGTAGTCGGACAAAAATGTTCTAACTAAGGATATTACAAGAAAATGTTGCTACTAAAAGTCCTTTTATTTTTTTTGAAGTGATACGTTATGATCATGAACTGGTTATCAAAATATTATATATGTGTGTGTAAAAAAAAACGCTATTATTATAATCTGCAAACAAATTGATCACTTGTTCATGTAAATCAGGAAACTTTCATGAGCCTTAGCTCATCAGTTTGCAAGTCTTGATCCTGATTAAATTTAATAACATGTTTTATAATGCATTTCAGTTTAAGGTGGAGAAATTAATACCTCGTTTGTTTCGCTCGTTCGAGTTAAGAACTTGAGTTAAAAAATTAATTCATGTCAGAGAAACACTGTAGTAGAAATAGTTGAAATGTGAATTTTTGTGAGAGAAAATCCTATAATAAAAACTTGAGTTATGATTTGAACTAATGAAATGAACGCGATCTAAAACAATTTCCTTATTCTAATCTCTACAACACTGATTCTAGTACCTCGGCACTCTATCCACATCAGTGAGCGAGGAGTCCTCTTAAATGGATCTCATTCTCTTGTAAAAGATTTGTCTTCTTCTTTTTTTTTGCATTTATTTTTCGTATCAAATAGTTAATTTTTTAAATTGTTTTTTGTGTTTTTTTATGCGTTTTCTTGTTAAATCTAAAGCTTTGTAAGTATCAAATCTGGAAGATTTAAGGTGGACAGAGATGGACATTGACAATATATTTGTTGTCGCATTAATTGGAAGAGCTTACGCTGTAGGTGGATGGCATTTTGAAAGAGCTGGAGATTTATTTCATATGGAGCTTGAATTTGTCTCCCTTTTAGAGTTATGCGCATCAACTATAGAAAGAAAGAGTGCATATAGAAAAATCCTCCATGTTCTTAACTAGATCAAATTGATGGTTTAACTGAGTTTTGTCTTTCTTTGGTCTCTAGAGACATTGTAGGTGGTTGAGTATTCCTTTTTCTACCTTGATTTTTCCCATTGGGTTTTAGTTGGAAAGTTCTAATTAAGGAGGATCAATATATGTGTAGGACTTTGGCTTGGTACGTAATAATTTTGGCTTGATCTATTGCTCAACCCTTCTAAGTTCTCCTGTGAGGTATAAATGTTGATTTTTTTTTCTCCTTGTCAAGTTTTTTTTTTTTTTCCTACTTGTTGCATGCAGGCGAGATCCATCCTTTATTTTTGTAATTTTCTCTCTTTTTTTTAATAAAATTTGAGTGGAGGGTTTGATAGATGATGAGTTGGCTAGTAGGAGCAAATCTAATTGGGATGTTTTAGTCTACGTTAATATATCAGTTATCTTCTCTCATCATTTACTGAAAAAATAATGACTGATTTGTTTCTATTTTTCTAAAATCAATTGTACTGCATCTATTGGGGGGGGGAAAGATAGCTGAAAAACACTAAGTATAAAGGCATTAAACCATTGACATACTAGTTCGGTTGTATTATGTATATGATGCTTATACACACAATGTTTGAATATATATGGCACGTGTTTGGTGCAGAATACATGATAACCAGAATACCAGATATTCTTTAGAGAAAGAGGAGGAAATCTCAAAGAGACAAAAAGAACGACTTAGCGACAAACAGATCGTTATGGGTGTTTTTTTTCACAACTAGTTACAACTCAAAATTTTTTTATGTGAAAAAAAACATTATAATAAAAATGTTGTATTTAAATTTTTATAAAAGAAAACATTATAGCAAAAAAACTTGATTTGTGAAAAAAATAAGGCCTATATGTGTGTATATATATCATGAAAACTTCCTAAAAAAACCAAACAATTAAGACAGTACTAGAAAAATATTAGGAACACCAACTCAAATCTTATTTTTTGTGTATCAACTGATGTGTCATGTGAGTTATTATCATTTTATTGATAGATGTAATCTTTTTTATTAATTGACGTGATAATGTTTTAAATACCTATTAATATAAAAATGACAACTCACATATCACATAAATACACATAAAAATTGAGATTTGAGTCGATCACCCGTCATTATTCCAATACGTCTATAAGGACGATTATGAGATATTTGTAAAGCAAATAATTAATTGTACTGGTGATCTGGAAGTTATTAATCATTACTGATCAGTCGATAAAGATAATAAATATCTCTTCTAACTGCTGCACCGCACACAAATACGTATGTATTCAGGCACACATGTATATATATTAATACATTCGTATATGGATGCTAACTATTCCGACGAAGAGAGTTGAAAATACAATCCTTCAAGAAACTAAAGAGAAAGAGATACGTAAATTAAAAATATATCTGGTTAGGAAATCTTGCAAAACTTATAATTAGGAAATGCTCGTTTTCCTTAATCATGTGTTTGTGATAAGAAACATGTGTGTGTGTGTGTGTGTGTATAAAACATGTGTGTTTGTGTGCTTATACATACATATATGTGTGTGTGTGTATTCAGTGACAGACACTAGCTAGGTTTCTTGCTCCCATGGAAAACCCTGGAATACTATTTTGCGCTATATATAAAAATCTATAAAACTCCCCTTTAAAGGATCCTATTTCTCTCATATGACAGATCATTTCAAAGTGGTACTCTTTATATTCTCTCCGATCCAATATGTAGCATAGTACATCAGTCCTACGCACACAATTATATTAGTTCCCAATAATATTACGAAGAAAAGTCAAAGTAATTGGGACAAACACACCAACAAATTAAAGTATAAATATATAAATAAATAAATAAAAAATGATACAGACATAGAGATGAGAAATGCAGTACAACTTTATTAGTAGTTATATTTATATATAAATGTGTGTGTGTGTGTGTGTGTATATATATTTATATCTATATATATACCTTGAGCTAGAGTACTCAAAGAGCTTGCCGGTTGAAGAAAAGACGACAAGGGCAACCTCAGCATCGCAGAGAACAGAAAGCTCTTGAGCTTTCTTGAAAAGCCCTCGTCTCCTCTTTGAGAATGTCACCTGCCTCGCCGTCACGTTGTCGATCTTCTTGATCTTTATCTTCTCTCTCGCCATATCTTTTTTTTTTCCCCCAAGAAACTCAAGAAAAAGAGAGAAAAAAATGGGTTTTGTTCAAAATTTAGAGAAGAATCTGGCAGATAAGATAAATCAGATCTAAGTGATGAAAACCCAGAAAAAATCATGATCATGCACACAATAAAAAGAAAGAAAATTTAGGGTTTCTCTTTTTCCGGTTTTTTTTATTTACCTTTTCTGGAGATGAAAGTGGTTCAGGAGCTTGTCAGTATTAGGTCTGGTTATGGGAAGAGAAGCCACCAATTAAAGAAAGGAATTAAAGAGTGGACCTAATTGTCTGGTGTTCGAGAAAGGAAAGTGTTCTTCCCCTTTTATAGCTAAAGAGTACTCTTTCAAATTAAAAGAAAAAAAAAATGAGTACTCTTCTTTCCTTGTTATCTAATCCAAGTATCTCTCGCGTTTTTCTATTTTGTTAGATTTTTAGATTAGATCATTCTACTTTTGTCTTTTTTGGCTCCACTCTCTTACGATCCGTTTGTTGGGAGGAATGGATAGGGCTAGCGATTTGTATTTATAGATTTATAAAGGGATTTTACACTTTTATTTTCTGAATTTGTATAGTTTTGGTAATTTACTTTATAAATTTTTAATTTTAGTAAGTTATCCATTTAATTTATAAAATTATTATAATGTATTTTTTTAACGATAATTATGTTAATTAGTGTCGAAAAAAATACATTCGATGAAAAATTTTAATAACATCTAATTTAAATATAACACAAATATTTAAATTCCTTGCTTTTAATCATTTAAACCTAATAAAAAAATTTGAGCAAATATAGTGAAACAAGACACATTGGAATAATTTTATAAATTTAAGAGATTGATTGTTAAAATTAAAAGTTTAGAGAGTAATTTACTATGCAATTGTGTTAAAAACAAATTTATAAATAGATAGAATGTATATACAATTGTTTTTGTTGTTTGTCTGGAGAAGTTAAGAAATATCTCTAGCATAATTTATTTTTTCATGCAATACTTTTTCCGGAAATACGATGAATATTGTTGCAATTGTTTTATGGGAACAAATTGCTTTCCGTACATTCTATCTTTGCCGCCATCACTTAACGGATACCCAATTGGCAATTGCCTTATCTACTTTTGTCTTCGTTTTGCTCCACTCTCTTAGGATCCGTTTGTTGGAAGGCATGGATAGAGCTAGCGAAGTGGATAGAATGTGAGAGAGAGAAAATTAGGGTAATTTTTGATGTCATTTGAATTACGAGAGAGGGAGAATTAGTAGGATAGAAGAATGTATATCTATTTAATTACTATATTGTCATTTTTATCATTTTATATAAATTTTAAAAAAAAAATAAAGGAGTTTTTTTCCGATTTTTAATTGGTGAATTCTATGAATACTTTCATTTATAAAATGATACGTCCAAACGGAAGTAATCCCCCTTCACTTTTTCTCTCCCTCTCACCAAATAATAGTTGGGCTCTCCCTCTCATCAAACATACTTTTAATAAACATTTGGTTAGTGGATTCGTGCCATGATTCGAATTATAGTTCGTGGTTCGTTACAGTATTTTTTCTCATAAAAAACACACGTAAACTGAAAATTATTTTGAATAATGATTCTAAATCCATGAACTAAACGTCCACTATTGTCAGTTGCCACACAATATGTTTAAAGTCGATATATCTTCTAGCTACCACAAAATTGAAAAAGAGAGAGAGAGTGTCTGAAAAAAAAAAATTTGTGCCAATCATATATCTAGCAAAAAAATGTATGATCCATGATATTTTATTCATAACATCACGTGAAGAAAAAATAGATAACTATTAGCAACTATGAACTGATCATCCAGTCAACATATATATAACGTGTAATTAGTTCATTACGTTCAGATCGCTAATTTTGATTTTTGGCATAATGGGATGTTGCCTTTATATAACCTTTCCTTTTCTCTCTTTTAATTTTCATATCAAACTCCGGCACTCTTCTTCCTAGCTGGTAGTAATACTTTTTTTTTTTAATTTTCTTTTGATATGTTTCGTAGTTTTTTTTTTTTTTTTTGAGAATATATGTTTAGTAGTTTTAATCTTTATATTATGACATAAGGAACCCCAATTTAGTGGAATCTCAATTTATAATGGTGATGAGTTTGTTACACTCGAATTTTTTGATGATCTGGTTATGATCATGTATTTTGTTTTTACGTTTTTTCGTGCTCTTTTTTAGGGTATTTTATCATATGTGAAGCTTATAAAAGACGAATCTGTCAAAATTGATATCAACTAAGGCTTCATTATCATACGATGCAAACTAGATCAAACCGAGAGTATTTTGAATGAGCCAAAATTAGAATGACGTGCGCACCAATTAAAATATGTAGGCAGTGAAATCCTACATATTTTTTAGTTAAAACAATAATTTGACTGTTTTCTTTATGGTTGCATATCAATCTCAATATTTTTACTATATATAAAGGTGAAATATTCGTTTTGTTCGAATGAAATCACCGTCTTTATCTATTTTTTTTAACGATAATTATGTTAATTAGTGTCGAAAAAAATACATTCGATGAAAAATTTTAATGACATCTAATTTAAATATAACACAAATATTTAAATTCCTTGCTTTTAATCATTTAAACCTAATAAAAAAATTTGAGCAAATATAGTGAAACAAGACACATTGGAATAATTTTATAAATTTAAGAGATTGATTGTTAAAATTAAAAGTTTAGAGAGTAATTTACTATGCAATTGTGTTAAAAACAAATTTATAAATAGATAGAATGTATATACAATTGTTTTTGTTGTTTGTCTGGAGAAGTTAAGAAATATCTCTAGCATAATTTATTTTTTCATGCAATACTTTTTCCGGAAATACGATGAATATTGTTGCAATTGTTTTATGGGAACAAATTGCTTTCCGTACATTCTATCTTTGCCGCCATCACTTAACGGATACCCAATTGGCAATTGCCTTATCTACTTTTGTCTTCGTTTTGCTCCACTCTCTTAGGATCCGTTTGTTGGAAGGCATGGATAGAGCTAGCGAAGTGGATAGAATGTGAGAGAGAGAAAATTAGGGTAATTTTTCATGTCATTTAAATTACGAGAGATGGAGAATTAGTAGGATAGAAGAATGTATATCTATTTAATTACTATATTGTCATTTTTATCATTTTATATAAATTTTTTAAAAAAAAATAAAGGAGTTTTTTTCAATTTTTAGTTGGTGAATTCTATGAATACTTTCATTTATAAAATGATACGTCCAAACGGAAGTAATCCCCTTCACCTTTTCTCTCTCTCTCACCAAATAATAGTTGGGCTCTCCCTCTCATCAAACATGCTTTTAATAAGCATTTAGTTAGTGAATTTGTGCTATGATTCGAATCATGGTTCGTGGTTCGCTGCAGTATTTTCTCTCATAAAACACACGTAAACTGAAAATTATTTTGAATCATGATTCTAAATCCATGAACCAAACGTCCACTATTGTTAGTTGCCACACAATATGTTTAAAGCGGATATATATCTTCTAGCTACCACAAAATTGAAAAAGAGAGTGTCTGAAAAAAAAAAAATTTGCGCCAATCATATATCTAGCAAAAAAATGTATGATCCATGATATTTTATTCATAACATCACGTGAAGAAAAAATAGATAACTATTAGCAACTATGAACTGATCATCCAGTCAACATATATATAACGTGTAATTAGTTCATTACGTTCAGATCGCTAATTTTGATTTTTGGCATAATGGGATGTTGCCTTTATATAACCTTTCCTTTTCTCTCTTTTAATTTTCATATCAAACTCCGGCACTCTTCTTCCTAGCTGGTAGTAATACTTTTTTTTTTTAATTTTCTTTTGATATGTTTCGTAGTTTTTTTTTTTTTTTTTTTTAGAATATATGTTTAGTAGTTTTAATCTTTATATTATGACATAAGGAAACCCAATTTAGTGAAATCTCAATTTATAATGGTGATGAGTTTGTTACACTCGAATTTTTTGATGATCTGGTTATGATCATGTATTTTGTTTTTACGTTTTTTCGTGCTCTTTTTTAGGGTATTTTATCATATGTGAAGCTTATAAAAGACGAATCTGTCAAAATTGATATCAACTAAGGCTTCATTATCATACGATGCAAAAGAATCTACACTAGATCAAACCGAGAGTATTTTGAATGAGCCAAAAATTAGAATGACGTGCGCACCAATTAAAATATGTAGGCAGTGAAATCCTACATATTTTTTAGTTAAAACAATAATTTGACTGTTTTCTTTATGGTTGCATATCAATCTCAATATTTTTACTATATATAAAGGTGAAATATTCGTTTTGTTCGAATGAAATCACCGTCTTTATCTTAAAAAAAAAAGAGTGAGAAGAGTAGAGTATGGTGACTATAGAATCCCAAAACTTTTTTTATTGTTATAATAATAATAATAATAATAACAATAATAATAATAATAATAA